GTTTTTTTATCTTGTATGTATTTTCTCTTATATAGTGTCTTGTATATGTGCTTGTATAGTTTATAATCAGGTTTATTTATTTATATTTTATTTCACCTGTGGCGTCGCCTCCCCTTTCACCTTTTTTAGTTTTGTCTAAAACAAAATCTAATACCGGCAAAAAAAAATAAAAAATTATACTTGCCATTCTTCATTCTTCGAATTCTTATCTTCGGACCCAAAAAAGGTCAAAACAAAATCCAGAATTTCCAACACCACTATTTGAAATTATTTTTATTTTTTTTAAAGACTCAATAGCGAAAAACAACAGCAAAAAAATTTAAATAAAAAATGTAAAAATAAACATTACATCACAACAAAAAAAAAAAATCCATCTTAACCCGTGTAGGGCTTGCCACAGAATGAGAACTCCTAGCGTTGAAAGCCTTTTTTTTTAAGTTTCCTACACTTAGTATATCTAAAACAGATTGCAAAAGCTGCCTTTGCAAGCCCTCCCCTTCTTTCCCAGGCTAGACCTTCTGTGTCTGTCCAATCACAGACTTCCCAATGCAGCCCAATGAAAAGCCATTGCAAGAATAGAGAATAGATAGACAAACAGAAAGATAGATAGAAAGATAGATAGATAGATTAGAGTTACTAACAACCTATTTGCAGCTTAATCCAAAGGCCACTACTCCATACTAATTCTTCTTTACCTCTCTGCTGTCTTTGACACCGTTGATCATGCTCTCCTTCTTCAAACTCTTCAATCACTCGGTCTCTGTGACTCTGTCCTCTCATGATTTTCCTCTTATCTCTCCCAATGCTCATTCAGTGCCTCCTTTTCTAATGACACCTCCTCCCCTCATCCTGTCTCAGTTGGAGTCCCCCAAGGCTCACTTGGTCCCCTTCTATATTCTCTTCATACTGCCTCTCTTGACAAACTTATTACCTCTTTTGGTTTCCACTACCACCTGTACGCTGATGACACTCAGATATATCTCTCCTCCCCGGATCTCTCTCCTGCCGTCCTGCAACGTGTCACTGCTTGCCTTTCTTCCATATCTGACTGGATGTACTCCTGCTTTCTGAAACTCAATCTCTCTAAAACTGAGCTCCTTGTCTTTCCTCCTCCTAATACTGATCCTCCTCTTTCACTCTCCCTTCAGGTTTGTGGTACCCACATCAGTCCATCCTTGCAAGCACTGTGTCTTGGCGTCATACTTGATTCTGGCCTCACCTTTGAGCCTCACATCCAGTATGTTGCCAAATCCTGTAGATTCCATCTTAAAAACATAGCCCGCATCCGCTCCTTTCTTACGCAAGATGCTACCAAGGAGCTTGTCCATGCTCTAGTGATGTCCCGCATGGATTATTGTAACCCTCTCCTGATTGGTCTTCCCAAAAGCCGTACTGCACCTCTACAGTCCATAATGAATGCTGCTGCCAGACTGATTTTCCTCTCTAGTCGGTTCTCTCACACCTCACCCCTCTGTCAGGCCTTACATTGGCTTTCTGTATGCTATAGGAGTCAATTCAAGGTACTAATTCACACCTATAAAGCACAGAACAACTCTAGCCCCTTTTATATCTCTTCACAGATCCATAGGTATGTCCCTTCTCGGTCTTTCCGCTCTGCCCATGACCACCTCCTGTCCGTTGTTCACATCCGTACAGCCAACTCACGCTTGCAGGACTTCTCACGGGTGGCTCCCTTCCTATGAAATAGTCTGCCTACTGCCATCAGACTCTCCCCTAGTCTTGCATCTTTTAAGAAGTGCCTTAAAACCCATCTCTTTAGGAAAGCTTATGGCCTCCCAGACTAACCTCTACCTCACATACCTGTCTCTTGCTCTCTCCTAAAAGATTGCACAATTTGAGTCCTATTGTGTTTTACACCCCACCTCCTATAGAATGTAAGCTTGTTTGAGCAGGGTCCTCTCCAACCGATCGTTCCTGTAAGTTTTTTGTAATTGTCCTAATTATAGTTAAATCCCCCCTCTCATAATATTGTAAAGCGCTACGGAATCTGTTGGCGCTATATAAATGGCAATAATAAATAGATAGATTGATAGACAGATAGATGAATAGATATTAGATAGATAGATAGATAGATAGATAGATAGAAAGATAAATAGATAGATATTAGATAGATAGATAGATAGATAGAGAGAGAGAGAGAGAGAGAGAGAGAGAGAGAGATAGATAGATAGATAGATAGATAGATAGATAGATAGATAGATAGATGGATAGATACAGGCATACAGACAGATGGAATAGTAGACAGATGGAACAATAGACATATAGAAAGATAGACAGATAGATCTAAGTCATACATAAGGCATAGACCAACATATAGACAGATATACAGATAATTCATAGACATAGATTGAGCATAGATAGATCATAGATAGTTGGATAGATTACAGACAGACATATATATATATAACTAGAGCGAGATTGAAAAAATAGACAGACAGACAGATATGTAGATAGACAGAAAAACAAACAGATGATAGATTATAGACACATACAAACATTCCCACTCTGTAGCCTTCATTGAAGGGTTAATATATTTTAGATGGACGGTAGAGCGGTAGAAATGTTTAATCAATCCTTCCAGTAAATGATTGCTTATACATCGTTTACACAACCAATACATAAATCTATCCTAACCTTTGGAGACTATTCATTCTAATGTGACAAAACTTTCACAGTCCAATAATCTGCAAATTGTAAGCAAAATACATATGTAAGAACAAAGATTCATGAGCAACATAATTAGACACAGTGTTGTTCAAGCCTCAGCCAATTAAATGTATTAATAGCATACAATGCTGTGATGCCAGATCTGGTGATATTGACATCTTATTTGTTTAATCACGATTTCTTGAAAATTGTCTAAAGCAGTCATACGAGGCAGCTGGATGTAATGATGTATGGCACCGTGACCTTTATTGTGTCTGGGATGGGAACAGGTTGGGGATAACGGAATTCCATTAAGACAGATTGATTGGGCATCTTGATGGGGGATTGGAAGCTGAGGATTCCTACAGGAACGTTTAGTGCACATTTATTTTATAATTACATGGAACCTGCATAGTGTATATTATTATTATTATTATTATTATTATTATTATTATTAATTCGAAAAGGTGAATACATGAAGGTTTTCTCTGAGAAGGTAAAGGGAAGATAAGGTGTGTGTGTGTGTGTGAGAGAGAGAGAGGAATATGAGACAGAGAAGAGAGAGAAATAGGTGAGGGGAGAAGAGATGGAAAGATAGAGAGAGCAAGAGAGAATTAAAAAGGGAAATTCTGTATGTAGAAACTGTGTGTCTGTGTGCTATGTTTAACCTTTTAAGTGACAGGTTTTAACCCTTTAAGTTCCAGATGGATTTTTATGTCAATCCCTTGGACAGTGAAAGAGTTAAGGAAGTTAACCATTTTCAAGCTATAGCATATACTAATTGAAATAACTTAAAACAATATTAATATATATATAGTCACACTCTCTCTCTCTCTCTCTCTCTCTCTCATACCTTCCTGCTTCGTCTTGTCAAAACACCCACCTGACCCTCCTTAGGAGAGATAACAATGTATTCTCTGTAAGTGAGGATCTTCCCAGTGGTGAATGAGGGAAATCAGATATGACACAAGACACATAACCTACGTTATCACACTGCATGTGTGGTTCTGCTCTCCAGGGCTGCTTCAGCAACATATCCAAACATGAGTGTGTTATAGCAGGTAGCCACAGTGTGCAGTGGGAATCCCCCTGGTAATCAAACCCATTAACCCTCTCATGGACTGGATATATATATATTACTGTTTGTGTGTGTGTGTGTGTGTGTGTGTGTGTGTGTGTGTGTGTATATATTACTGTGTGTGTGTGTGTGTGTGTGTGTGTATATATTACTGTGTGTGTGTGTGTGTATATATTACTGTGTGTGTGTGTGTGTGTATATATATTACTGTGTGTGTGTGTATATATATATATATATATATACTATATGTGTATGATTTTATATGTGTAAATATATAACATTTATATAACGTTTTCTACTCTACATTTAATTAAATTAAATTAATTCTATGTCAGTACATTGGCAGATAGACTAACAAAACAAACAAACAAACAAACAAGTGCATACAGTCAATAACAGACCCTTTATATATATATATATTGTTGGTTAGTTCAGACTGAAAACAAGTTCCGATTTATTTGGCACCTCTGTCCCCCTATACACACTAAATGTGCAATATTGTTTTATTTGAAGCTGGGCAGTGAGGTAGCCCAGAGACTATCAGGTCTCAGTAGGTGGAAAAAATGACTAAATCAGGCTGTTGACTTGCAATATCTAATAACCAAGTGACGGATGGGCTGATATTTGGCAATGAAGGGTCTTAAGTAGAATTTATATTGCTGCCTGCACAAAGTGACAAGTGACGTCAGAGATGTCACTGTCAGGGGGAGTTGAAGATAAAAAGATCACAGCATTTGTTTTCTCCAGTGAATGGTAAATTAGCAATTAAATACCACTCTCACCATAGCACATCATAACAACTATATATACATTTATATCTCCCAGTGAAATTATCACCTGACTTCCTAAGCTAATCAAAACAACACCACACATCGAATTCATTTATTGAAAATCAATTAAGATCATACACAATCTTGTAAATGACACTAAAAATAGATGTCATTGTAGCTGTCACATAACACATTATTTTCACACTTGCAAAAAGGACACAGATGAGGTACTTTGTAATGCAACTCTGGGTAAATGTAACATAGTAAAAGTGACAAGTGTTACATTTTGCAGGTAAATGTTAAATATAGAAGTTAAAGGGTTACTGTAAAAGACCCATCCCTACTGCAGGGGGTTTAGTGATGCTTAGATTTCATTCAGCATTTTGTCTTTTAAGAGGCTGAGATGGTATCACATGACAATCCACGTCAAAGTGTGTAGGACACACACTACAGTGGATCCCTCCCACAACCCATTCACAGCTGAACAAGCCTGATCAGCTTGTATCTAACTCTAGTGAGTTACAATAGTATGAGATCTCTCTCTCCTCACCAAGATCAAATGGAGCTATTTAATGAAGAGATGCCTTTAGTCTCACAATGCAGTTTCCACTATCAATAATTTAAAAATCGTTGCAGCAGCTCAGAAGAAAAACCAAGATTGTGTATTTCCTTTAGCTCTATATTTTGCATAGGAAGTTGGAAAAGAAATTGAAAACAGACAAAATACTGTATACAGAGTTTCAACTGAGATCCCCAAATACAAGTGGGTTGATGTTTTCTTTGACAAGGTACTAACTGAAAAGGTGGGTCCAGTTTTATTTTATTCTATGTTTGGGGAAGTATAGAATATATTGCATGTTTACAGTGAGCTTTGTTTATTTATTTTTATTTTTGTTTGTTGTTGTTTAATTGTTTCTGCAGTTTTCTCCCTCTTTGAGAAAAACGGTGTTATATTGTCTGAAATGTTCATAAATAATAAACATGGTTTTATTGTCTTGAGTGCATTCTTCATACGAGAGGTCAGGGTGGGTACATTGTTTATGATTACATTACTGTATTATTGTTTTTTTCTTACCATTTATTTAAAGATACAAATACTGTGTTCAAACGAGCCATAAATGTCAGTCATTCTGCACTCATTTTATTTAAATTAATATGATTTTTTTTTGTATAACTAAATTATCTTTTTTTAAATCCAAACATTTTTATTTTTTTTAAAATTGTTTCTAAAAAAAATAATTAAATGCATTCTTTCCTCATAACCCGATTTGCATTTTTTTTAAAAAAAACAAAAACAAACAAAAACTACTGTTTATAAAAGAAAAAAAATTCTAATAGGTACAATTCTAACAGTAAACAATGTACCAGTCACTTTTCTGTAACTAATTAATTATCTCTTAAAATGTTTCTTCCACCTGCTTTTAGAGTCATTTGGCAGAATTTGTATCTTGATGGCTAGCCAAGTCAGTGCACAAAGGATTAATGCACAATGCTCCAAATGATTTAAAATTTCTACATATCAATAGCAGATCCTGGAGTGTTGGTTGCTTTATACATGAAGGGGAAAGTTGTGTATGTACTAATGTTTGAGCAAAGTCGTTTTGCAATTGGCATTATTGTTTTATGATGTGTGTTGCTGAGGGAGGGGGGGGGGATGCTCTGTCTCTTTAAATACACAGCATGTTGTGTGGAGTGCAGAGAAGTTTGACCAATAGAGGTACAAATTGGGATCTAAATAATTTCTCACTGACAAAAGCTAAGACATTCTGGTCTAAACGACTTGCTAAACTCAACCAGCAGGTCTGTAGGAGCTCTACACAGAGAGACACAGAGACACAGAAGGGAGAGCACAGAATCTTGATATTCCTCATGAAGATTTCATGGGAAACTGGATCTGCCTGCCAGGCACTCAGCTACAGCATGAATCTGCTTTCTAATCTCCAGCATGGGAAGCTGATTCTGCAGAGTGAAACTTTCAACAAGTTATCTGCTACCTACCTTCATTTAAAATAAAATACAAAAAAAAAAAAAAGACACAAGAGGTAGGACATGGTGCATTTATTATTGAAATATTAAGGGTCTTTTTATTGGAGTATATTGTTGGAGTTTAGCTCTCTTTGATCATAAAAAATCGTTGTAGTTTTTTTTTCCTGTAGCTGCAGGCTCTGTATTGTTTGGAAAAATCATTCCAGTATGTCTTTTTTCTTGTAAAAGGGAGTGTTCATTTATTGTATTAGCTAGGAAGCCTTTGTACTGCAAGATGGGAATGCTAGAATGAATTGGATAGAGGGATTACTCTATAGATAGCTGTTTTGTTAGATAGAGGGATTACTCTATAGATAGCTGTTTTGTTACTGATCTCTTTGGGGGTTTACTCTCTTGTGTAACTGGGGGAAATAAAGAAAGTAAATATAAAAAATGATATTTTCTTTGGGATTAGTGGCAAACTCTTGAGTCTGATCTGAGTTGGGACTGTCTATTCTGAATAAATTCCTTCCAGTCTGTCCAGCAAAAGTATTTGGAATAATTCTACAACACAGGGGGACGTGCTATTCCAGACACTTCATAATGTTTGCTTTGTTGATTGTTTGTTTCACTTTCAGAAGCAAGAGATAGAATGTATATGTTTTGTATTTTTCAATAACTCTCGCTTGGCATGTGTCGTGTTAACCATTGGAGTGCAGGAGACTTGCTTGCCCTATGTCGGTCTCTGCATCTGTCACACCAAGAGTTAAACTTCTAGCTCTAACCTAGCAATTAGCTGCTGTCTCCCTGGAGCTTGGTTTCAACTCATTTGGAACATTGCTGTCAGGGTGACAACAACATGACACTATGACACTATCCTCTGCTGGCACTGAAAAGGTTAATGTGTCTTTATATTACGGATTGTACAAGTGTGTGTGTGTGTGTGTGTGTGTGTGTGTGTGTGTGTGTGTGTGTGTGTGTGTGTGTGTGTGTGTGTGTGTGTGTGTGTGTGTGTGTGTGTGTGTGTGTGTGTGTGTGTGTGTGTGTGTGTGTGTGTGTGTGTGTGTGTGTGTGTGTGTGTGTGTGTGTGGTTTTTTTTTTTTGGTTTTTTTTAAAGGAGATCGCCTGCTCTCAATTCCTGGGCATTTTCCTATTCTGTTCCCAATCCCAGTGTTGGCTGCATATGTGTATTCGATGCACATGTGTTGAAGGTTTCTTAGCTGTAATGCAAAGTTCTTTAAACATTCTAGTGAAAGTAAATGCTACAGACCTGATCAAACCAAAGGGACTGGTGTATGTGTGTGTGTGTGTGTAGGGGCGGGCATGGAGAGGGGGGACTCATAGGATACCTGCAAATCTGAAGAATGTGAGGCTTTCTGTGCCATCTGGAAAAAAAAACCATTCATAATAACCTTATGGGTTTTTTTTGGTTTTTTTTTAGTCTTGAGTTAAAGTAGTAAGAGGGGGCCCTCTACTGGTCAACAAATGAACTCCTGCTATTAAACATCTAATGGGTTTCCAACAGGCTATTGTAGCTTTCTTATGGCTTACGAGGCAATTTTGTAAAAAGATGCTCTTGCGCATAAAAAAATAACCTTTTTCCTTTGTGAATAATGTAGTAGTTGAGTTCAAATGTTGCTTCAGCACTTGTCTTCACTAAGCTAAAAAGGCGGTGAGATTTCCAGCCATATATTTTGTGGTTTCTCTACTGACAAGTGGAGTCCAGTGAATATAGTTTTAAGAAAAGATAAATCTTTGCAATGTTTCACAGCTTAGTAAATGTCTATCGTCACACTTCACTATTACAAACGAATTCAGTTTCTTTCCACCCAGGTTGATTTCGGCTAGGGGAAAATATCTCCTATCATCTTATGCCATTACCTGAAATAGATATGCGTTTTATTTCTGATTGTCATAGTGAGGAAGTTATTCAATAACATAGGAATTGTGTAGAGTGAACAAGCAAATTGTAGAGTTCTTCCCGAAATGATAAAATTGGAAATCTTCTCCTGTGTGTGTGTATTACTGTGGATCCAAATAAGACACGTCATTGACATAGTATGATACGTATGAAAATTGATAATTTATTGATATCGACTTCATCAGGCAATCTTTAGATAAACTGTCACGTCTCTAAGTTCCTTCACTGCTCTAAAAAATAGACTCTGTCTTGAGTTGTAGTGTTCTAAAACATGTGATTTTTAAATATATTTCAAATTAATTTGATAATGTTGATTATTACTAGGGAGAATGTGCTCTTAGCATTGGTAAGATTTTTTTTATATTGTATATGTTGCATCTTAATTGTATTTTTCCCCTCCTACTAATTATATACCAATAAATATAAAGTGCTAGTTTGAGGAGGGGTATCCCAATACATTAGAAAGACATAGACGGTCTATAACAAGCGCCTTCCATGTTATATGTTCAGAGCTAGACCACTTGCTTAATTGGTCTATGGTGGATGTAAAGGTCCGTTGATAACTCTACTGACAGATGCAAGAAGAAGTTGAGAAACCTGCTAAATTCATTCTGTTGGTTACTTGTTGCTTTTATGTCCCAGTGCACCAAAATCAGAAAAGGACAGATTGTCCAAATTGTTAAGTAAAGTACTGAATACGTAGTCAATAACTACATGGGATTAAAGAACATAGCCGACATCAAAATATAACTTCTACTTAACATTTTCTGATGGCACGCTTTCTGTTCCTAACAATCTGTGTGGTGAAATGCAGTCAGCACTTGTTAACATGTAAGCTCTAATGGAATTTAATCCATGCCGTTTACAATAATTGTAATTCCAGTACCAAAACGCCTTTGTCTTATTACTCTTCATCCTAATATGCATAATAGGAAATAAGAGACCCTCTACAAAACACATTATACGGTGACTTTTGACCTATTTTATTACAATTATTTTAATTTCACACATTGTGTCACTCGTAACATCATTGGTATTCTAAAAACACAATGTAGTGTTGTGGTTTTTTTGTTTTTTTTTTAAATATTCTAAATTGTTCCGAATGGTGCTTATACTAAACTTAAGAATAGCCTTAATGCAGTTTATGCATCATCTCAGTTCTATTTATAGACCTTTTTAAATGCATTTGGAGTCTGGCCATCATTTAGAGTCTATAAGCCTGGACAGGCGAGAATACATATTTCAAGACTTTCCCCCATCATCTATAGGAATATCCCAGGACCTTTCTATATTTGCCATATTTATTTTTTCTCTATTTTTTTTCTAAGAAATAGACTTTTTGTTTTGTTTTGTTTTTTTTGTTTCTGTGTTCTTTCATTTATCAATATTTACCAAAATGATGAAAGTCACATTGATGACATACAGCTATTCTTTCATCTAATGTGTAAGTAAAATAACGCACCTTGTGATAATTCAAAAGTGCTCATGTTTTTATAAGCAATGGGTTAGATGTAAGGTTGTTTACATTCAAGAGCTATAATGAGACAATGTGATCTGCCTCCACTCTTCCATAACTAGTTACATATCTGTTTCTCTTGACGCTTTTCCAATTCGACCTGTTGCTCAAATTTCCTGTAGAGTCAGTTTTTAATAGCAAACATGTCCCTTTTCTCTTTTCTTGTTATGTTTCTCATTCTATATTAGGGTCCATCATAAGCTACCATTATAGATATTATTATCATCCATCTTCGTAAACCTCTTTTGACGCTTGATAAATAAAACTGCATATTACTATTACAGGTTGCAGTTTTTAGACTGTTACCACAGCAAGATCAATACTCATCACTTATTCATGTTGCTAGTAACTGGGACGTAATGTATGCAGACATTCCTGATGATTCTCCTTTCAGGAGGTGCTGAGTGAGATCCATCTTTGTCTTTTGTGGATATTCATGTATATGTAACTGGTTTGAAGCAGCAGAGGAACTTTAGAGACAATGAACTGTGACCTCTGGGTGGGTGGTAGGGAGAATGGCGAAGAGATGAGTAATTTGGACTCTTGGGAATAAAACATTTTTTCGAATGTGTGAAAGTCAAGTTTAGCTTGTTTTAATTATAGAAGCAGGGTAAGAAAGAGTGTGAAATATACTAAGAAACTCGATCCAAATTGGCTTTAATCCAAGGACATAATTAAATTTAATGCAACACACCAACATGCCAACATTCATATGGGTAATACTTACATCTATTTCAAATGCTAAATACTGTTGCATAGTAAATTTGCTGACTTTATAATCTGTTTAGTTGAAAAACATAACTTTGTCATTTATATACACTGATCAGCCACATCATTAAAACCACTGACAGGTGAAGTGAATAACATTGATTATATTGTTACATTGGCACCTGTCAAGGGGTGGGACATATAGGCAGCAAGTGAACAGACTGTTCTTGAATTTCATGTGTTGGAGGCAGGAAAAATGAGCAGCTTAAAAAAATCTGAGTGACTATGACCGTGTACAAACAGTGATGACTTGATGAATGAGAAAAGCATCTCTTGTGGGGTGTTCCCAGTATACACTGGGTAGTACCTACGACAAGTGGGACAAGGAAGGACAACAGGTGAACTGTTGTCAGGGTCATGGGGCAATATAAGTCCAAGGCTCATTGATACATGTGGGGAGCGAAGGTTAGCCCATCTGGTATGACCACACAGAAGCGCTATTGTAGCTTAAATGGCTAAAAAAAATACTTACTGCTGGCCATAATAGAAAGGTGACAGAACACAGTGTATCGCAGTTTGTTGCAGATGGGGCTGCATAGCCGTAGACCAGTCAGAGTGCCCACTATGACCCCTGTCCACCACCGAAAGCACCTTTAATGGGGACAGGAGAGTCAGTACTGGATGATGGAGCAATAGAAGAAATTTGCCTTGTCTGATGAATCCCATTTCCTTTTACATAAGGTGAATGGCCGAGTGTGTGCTTCATTTACATGGGAAAAAAATTGCAGCATGATGGGAAGAAGGCAGGCCTTCAGAGGCAATGTTATGCTCTGGATAGTGTTCTGCTGGAAAACATTGGGTCCTGGCATTCATGTGGATGTTACTTTTGGCATGTAAAACCTGCCTGAATATTGTTGTACACCTCTTCATGGCAATGGTATTCCATGACGGCCATGGCCTCTTTCAGCAAGATTTTGCACCATGCAACACTGCAAAAATTGTTCAGGAATGATTTGAGGAGCATGACAAAGAGTTCAAGGTGTTGCCTTGGGTTCTATATTCCTCAGATCTCAGTCACGTTGAGCTTCTGTGGGATGTGCTGTAACAACAAACTCGATCCATGGAGGTCCCACTGTGTGGGTACAGTAAATATGTAAGAGGCTTGCAGGAATTAAAAGATTTACTGCTAATCTTTTGGTGCCAGATCCCACAGGACACATTCAGAGATCTTTTGGAGTCCCTGCCTTGATGCATCAGAGCTTTTTTGGCAGCAGGAGGGGGACTTACACAATATTAGGCAGGTGGTTTTAATTTTGTGGCTGATCAGTGCATATATCTCTTGTCCGCTAAGGCAGCTTGTTGTCTTCAGGAGCAAAGGATAAGAAATCTTCTGGTCGACCACTCAAGTCTCAAGTCAAGTCAGAAACCATATTTCAAATACTTTCAACAGAAAATGGTAGTTACGAAAATCGCTTATCAACTACTTAATCAGTCAATGTCTTGGCCAAAAATAAAAACACCAAAGTACATCTGAAGCTCTATAATTCAAAAAATCCCAATATAATATGTATAAATACATGTTTTGAGTAGGAAGAATTAGACAAAGCTATGGAACATAAGATCTTGTTGATGGTTTATTTGGGGACCACTGTTGGCATCTGTTGCTTCTGCGACTTACAGCAGGCCTCCTGGATAGAGACCTTGCTGAGCATTTCACACACTGTGCTACAATAACAAGCTTTTTGATTTATCTTCTGTGGTGCAGCAAACAGTAGCACAAGTTCACAATCACATCACTCCTGGGGGAACCTGCTGCCAAGTTGAAAAGCTAGCTTTCCCCTATTTTCGAAACAAACGATGGTTAAGCACATGCACGCAACACTAACTGGTGTCTAGCTGGAGGTTGTAGCTCACTTGGTTCAAGCACCAGACACATTACCTGAATTTCCTTTTAAAGATCAATCTATGTGTACTATCAAGTGTGTATTGATAACATGTATGTGTTGGTGATTGAGCAGTCTGTAAAAACGTTTCGAGTTAAATAAATACATGGGTTTTTAGTCAATTTGTTTCTTTTGGTGAATGAACTGATGCAAACATAATCCATGGAGATGTGAATTAGACAGAAGTAGTTAACGGGAAAATATCCCAATTCACAAGCACTGGAGCAAAATGACAGAACCCTAAACTTAAAGTAAATAGAAAGTGTCTCTTTCTACGAGTGCTAGAAATACCATAGGGCTGCTACAGTCAACGCTACGTCTTGAATATTTAAGAACCATAGTGACAGGTGCACTAATAAAGTAACAGCCCCCTATTTTATTGTACACTTGTAATACAGGAATCCAGTTATTACGCATAATTTTTGTCTAAGAGTGGAGCTAACCAGGATTCAAGGAATCATTTTTCTTGTCTGCAGCTCCTGTAAGGAGTCTGGACAAACATCCAGAATGTAAACAGAACTTATTGCAATAGAGCAAACTCAACTGTCAGTTTCTGGAATAATAAGAAAAAAATATCTTGATGCAATTGTGTGCGCTGTGTTGATTTATTTACATTGCAAATGCAGACTTCAATCTGTGTTTTCTATCTGAATTCACAATGTTTCTGTGCCCTTAGCCGAGAATCCCAAGTAAGTGGGCATATCCGCTTAATGATGTAATTACTATCCTTTATTTGTTTTCAAATGATTGTGATAAGCCTTGAGTTTAGTCCTTTGTTAGAAAATTGCTGTTCAATTTCGAGACTGAATGATCTTGCCTAACAAGTCCCAAATAAGCACTCTTAGTTATGTCACACTGTGAATTGCATCCTGAAAAGGGGCTTTGAAAAGAAATCCTACAGCTCTATCTGAATGCAGTGCCTTAACTCTTTCTGTAAGAAAAGCAGTTTTTAAGTCCAGACGCTTGACAACGATATGGTAAAATATTACGTATGTCAATATAGTCTTTTGATGCATTGTAACTCCCTTGTATTTGTAATGTACAGCTGATCATTTGTTAATTCTTTTCAAATAGCATAATAGTAACATAGGTAGCTGTTTATGGTGAAAATAATCACAAATCTTAACTCTGCATGCTTTAACCTGAACAGCTTACAGTACACAACAAAGAGTGAAGGTAACATACCTAATGCAGCCTAATGCCATTAATGAGTAGTGTTGCCAGATCCATAATATTTAATAGGGCAGAGACACGTTATGTCAAAATTGATACAGACAGCTAAGCAGCAAGGGCCCTATTAGCTCTTTAGCCCTTGAAGTGCTGGATTAAAAATATGTAACAGATATAATGTCTGGGAATTTGAAAAACAAGCAGAAAATGCATATTAGACTTGTGCCTCCATTTTTAGCAGAATAACAATTTGTCTGAACTCTGAGCGATTTGCAGGTGGTCTGAATTTTATAGCTCTGAACAGCCATATGACCAATTCACGAAGCCACTGAACTGGATAATGGATGAACTGGCTTGGTTGTTCATATTTTGCTGTTCCATTGCACTCCAAAAAAAACATGATTAATGGTTAAGGGACAGTTACTAAATCTAATAGCTAAATTAAAACAATACATAAATAATGAATAAATAAACCAGAGATCAGCCAGACCGAATGCTTAAATTCCTACCTGTAAACTAAAATTAAGCAAACATAAAAAAACCCTGTATTTTCAGACAGGTGAATTTTGACCAGAATTAGCTTCAGTAAATCTAGAATGGCCACACACACATGTATATATTGTCCCCACCCACCTACACCCTGTTATCATTACATTCTCCTTGGTGGGCCCTCTTTTATTTACAGGCCCACTCGTACGTTGGTTTCGGCACACCACAACCAACTTTGCCCTTTCAGATACTATCCATTACGTATTAAATTCCGAGCACAAATATATATACACAAGGCAAATTTTCATGCCCTCCCGTTCACCCAAATCATTTTCTTGGATAGTTTGCATGGAAGATAGACGATATTCAGTCTGAGCTGAACTGCCACATCAACAGAACCAAATATTTCTTTTTTCTTAGGTCCAAATGATTCAGCCGAACCAAATTTGTCCACCATATACAAGTCTAGTGCATATAATTTTTTTAAATGTAGTTTTGCATCTATTTTTGTAAATTAATTATCTATATAATGTATTAAAGACTAGGGGTTACATCCAGCCCAGAATGCCCTTTTTTACCTTTAGCATGTCACAGGCATCCTCAGATGTTGAGTACATGCTTCCAGGTGCCGAGTACTTCCATATTGCTACCTCATATGCCTCCTTAGGACTCGTCCATTCTCAAATACTTCTTCCAGTTTCTCAGTAGTTCAACACCACTTACACACAACCTGGTGTTACCTGTATAATGCCAATCATTAGCCTTTCGGACATGTCATGTTACCATGCTCTCACCTGGTTCTCTAATGCCCAATATAGCTTTCATTTTAGGTGTCATTGGTATTTTAGGCCAGATTAGCTTTTATTTACATTTCCTATTTTCTGGTGTCCCTTGGCTTGTTTTCTTATTCCTTCGTACTTTGTACTTCTTTGTACTTTTCTTATCCATAGTCCTTTGCTAATTACTTACTACACTTACCTGTTTCACAGGTCCGCTACTTTGTCTCTTTGTAGGCACCGTGGTAGGACCAGCCATTTTATGGTCTGGTATACTACTATCTTTTTTTTTTAATTTCTATTTCCTGTATAGAGGTTAACTAAGCTCTGCGAGAGCTTATGGGTAATGGGTGGTCCTTCAAGGACATGTTGAGAACCATATTTGCCACGATGCTCCATGTCTTTCAATTAAACTTTAAATTATATCCTTATGGTCACATTCATGTAGGTCTCTCAACAAGATGACAATCAGGTGCTTGCTCTGCACAATAAAACTAGACTCATGTTCAAAGGCATTAATGTGTTCTGTCACACTTGAATTACATGTGACAATATTAATTGCAGTTATTTGTTTGAGGCAATGGAAGCAGGTGCCTTTTTGCAAGGTAGTTTGATCCATCTGATAGTAAAAAGCTGTGGTGTGACTTAGTTATAGATAATTGATTTTGTGTTTATTTCCGACCAGAATAAAGTTGGTTATTATGAAAGTTTTACCTTGATTTTAAACTCATAACGCTATAGTTATGAAAAAATACTGTTTTGGGGCAACTAAATGTTGATGCAGTTTTTTTTTTTTTAGAACCTAATGACATTTTCCACTTGACTGATCCACACTTGCTAAGACAGAATTGTTCTAGGTTAGGCATTATCGATGTATGTGCTGAGCATGATGTGGATTGTGGAATAACAGCTGGGGAGCCAAAGGTTTCCTATCCCTGGGTTTGATTCGCATAATAAATGTTTGGTTTCCCATGGCAACAGAGTTATCATCAGTTTGTCAAATTACACTGTAATCTAGGCATCTCTAATTGATACAGCTGTCATCAGATGAGCCTTGTAGGACAGCCAAAACAACGAATGGAGGCCAGACTAACACATTTCATGCTTTGCTGACAGCTGAGATGATGCAGAACTACTATGTGTTGTGAACTGAAAAATATTTCTTGTTTTGTGGTCTTTACATTTCCCTTTTCTCCAATAGAAAGACAGATATTGAAAACTAGAATTAAATCTATGTTACTTTTAAAATGCATTCACTATGAGTACTTAAAAATATGTAAATGCCTGTGACACAAATAGAGATTTGCTACCTTGTCATTATTTAAGTTTTTTTTTGCAAATTGTTATCTTGTATACTAGTTTTAAGTGATCTTTGATTGCAATACCTAAGCTGGGAGAGTGTGCCCTTATTATCTTGACCCAGAAGAATATGAAATGGCCACGTAGACGTATCATGGGAAACAATCGAATACATATCCAAATTTGATGTGTGAAGATTATGTCAGGTGTTTTTTTTTTTCTATGATCCCAGTTTTCTCTGAAAACTTTCAATTTATTATTACATATACCCATTTAGTGTTTGATGGACATCATATTAAACATTTGTTTTATGCTCCTTGTATGGATGTAGTCTTTCTGTTTTTTGACTCTAACAGAGATTAACTTGTAATAAACCAATAGCAAACCAGAATGGTCCATAGTACCCTGATAATGGCATGGTTGTAAGGGATGTCCTATATGTTCATAGAGCCGTGTTAAAGTTAAATCAAAAGGGGCATCCACAGTAAAGTAGGATCTTCACAGACCAGACTAAATTGTCATGGCATTGACCAACACTCGTCTATAATAGGTTAAATTGGTCTCCTTTGTAGCACACCTGGTGAAATAGCTGAATCTTTAACTAAATAATACCGACTGAACCATCTGTTTCTTCAAACCCAGTATAATCGTACTTTGCATCTGTTCATATTGTGTACATACGTGTAAGGTAACAAATCAAATTCAAATATCACAATGGATCATACAAGTGTTTGAACATGCCTTGGACTGACCTCTTTTCATATACTTCTGACTTGGAGATTCCAAAAGAAATTTGAAGTCCTTTTAAGAATGTTGCTCTTTTGTAATATTGAGCTGATCAGTTTGCGATTTATGCAAGTTTTAACTTTGTAAGTCATCTGATATGAAAGATTTCCAAAGCAATAGACAAGTAACAAAATGATGTCCATGTGTTAGTTGGAACAAATCAGACAATGATGCACAAACACACAGCAGACTAACTAATCCTGCTTATTGTACTATATCTGCTAACTATTCCGGTCTTCATTTAATCAGGAGTATTATCAGCAATGAAAAGATCCTTTCAAGTGGGTTCACTCAATCTTTCAGACAGAGTTTTTTTAAATTCTCTTAACCTTGTGCATATTAGTGTTACCTTGAAAACAAATACCCGTCGGTTAATTATACTTGCTCTCACATCTGAAAGACAATTTGCAAATGAACTCACCAATTTCCTCTGTCATGTTATCAAGTCAAACGGGATTGGCTCTTTGTCAGAGACTCTGAGACACTTTTGGGTTCAATTCCACAGGTGGATGGACACATTTTCTTTTCTTTTTTTTCTACATTTAAAGAAGGCGATCCATGCCGAGTTGCCTCATCTTCTTTATGTTGTCTTGTGAAGAGTGCAAAGGAGTGCAAAATAAATACTACTCACTTAATTTGGCATAGGAGGGCAAGCAACTCTTGGACTGGTGGAAAATACAACCCAATACAATGGCCTTTAATTCCTCTTACATATTACAAATCACTCTGTGGATGGTCCTACTCTCACTGAACCAGACTGGTTGGCATCAGGTAAAGTAGTCTCCATGTAAAAAATCCTAGGAGGCTTTCTAGCCCTGGGAAGTACTGAGATTATGGGTCACCAGCTCAGCCAACACAATGCTGGGCTAGCAAAAGGCCTACAAAATACCTGCCAACTGCATCATTACTGCACTTTGGGCATAAAGTTTTGTGCTAGACATTTCCGTTTTTCTACACTGCTGTTGGCTGTGGGAGAAGCCAGGGTCGCACAACCCTATGTTGAACAGAGACCTTAGTGTTATTATAACTACTTGAATAACATGCATTCCATTGGCCCTCCAGTTGATCGTTATCTTTCAAGAATGGCACCCTGAGGATGCAGCCCACAAACTCTGCCTGCTAGAGGGGAGATAATATTTTGATATTATTTTACTACCCTTATTTTATTTTTAAGTTTCTTGAAGGTATCCCTACTCACACAAGTCCTACAAGCTCTTATAGAAAGCTATAATAGATACAAATTAATCTGAATATTTAATTTGTGTGCGTTTTCTAGTTTCTACGATACTTGACCAGGAAGCGCACATGATGCTAATTGTGAATCTGCGAGTGAAATCCAAACGTTAGAGAGACCGCATTGAGTTATCGACAGAAACCCCAAATAATTATATGCTCCATGTAATCTCTAGAACATGGTACATCAGTGTAGTGTTCATGAAAACTTTGTTTCAGATACATGTTTAAACTCCATGTGAAAGTTTTAGGGCAATTGCTGTGTGCTAAATATCCAGTTGGCCTTATTTTATGATTGCACACAAATGATGATTCTTCGATGCTTTGAGTGCTGTCTTCAACTTGTACTTAGTCCTGATTGTCTGTGATTTAACCTAAGTGTGTTTCCTGACAATTCTCCTACTTATTCATTTGGCATTTCGCCATAGCATATTGCATTAACTATACTCATAGACAATTGCCAGTTAAATTACGTTCCTGTCTGATCCTGTTGTTCTGTGAATATGTTCTATGTTGTATCTCAACAGCAGAGCAAACATAGGGCCTTAACCTGCAAGGGGCTTGGTGTTGCCCCTATTGGTCTTCGAAAGTATATTTTGCAAACAATTTTCAAATATATTACTAATTATCAAGATTAAAGATGTTTCCTCTATTTGTTGCTACAAATAGCAAGTAATAGTGGCTTAACAATTAGTGCATTTTTATTTAAATTTTTTTAGAGGAATAATGTATGCATTCTTTATTTTTGTTGCACTACTTTGGCTCTCCCCAAGTTAAAAGGGTAATTCAGTAGTGGACCCCGTGCTCACTGTCCTAGGGAGTATAAGTTACACCTGGCTGGTGCTGCTCAAAGGAGGCTGAAACGATCATCTGGGACTGCTGTATCTCCTGTGAAAAGAGAACTTGCTGGAATTTCGATTCTGAACTGCCCTTATGGGTGGGATCAGTCTAATATGCCTTGGAACTGGTTTTATCTGTAAAGGCACAAATGAGCAAAAACTATTTTGAGACCTGAGTGGGGATTAACCGGAGAGCAAGCTACTGAGTCCCTTTAAACATTTGTGCGTTCCCAAAGTTCTCGTATTCTTTGTTTTAGGCTGTATGGTTATTCATACAATTCTTCTCCAATTATGAAGTCTGTGTATCTCACAGGCCAACGTGAAACAAAATTTAATTTTTTCCTAATTTTTGCAAGTGAGAAATAAAATATTAGAATGTGAATATTGGTATGTATTCTGAACCACACCAATACCCATGTAAAAATGTGGAAATTTATAATTTTCTGTGAACTGTGGTGCAACCAGAAAGCAAAAAAAAAAAAAAAAACCCCTCTCCCAACCTTGTAGTAACAAGTTTAGAAAACATATTTAACCTTAAATAATTATTTTGGGTATTGTTGCATTCTGCCTTCTTTCTACCTCCATAAATTGATATTAACACTTACAAGTTCTTTTTCTGCCAAAATACTCATGTTGATTGACTCAATAATCAACCTACATGTGGCTCTTTATAACCCAAGATTCTTATTAGAATGAGAAGAAGGAAATGTATAGGATATCTTGGAGTATCATTTCACTAAAGCAAGTTAATTGGATCGTTTCCCTGCAGAGCTGGTATGTGGTTCATGAATTTACAGGAGTTCGACCAGGGGGTTCGACCTTAGTTACTCAATCCAGCCAATGCACCACTTGCAATATAAGTGAGTGACTTCTAGACAATGTGAAACTCTCTTACAAAACAACTGGGATGTCAATTACAATAAAGCTCAGATCAACAATCCTATTGCATCTGTATCGGATAACACAAGCACTGTTATAGCAGCAGTACCAAGTAACATGTTATCAATAATTCAGGCAGTGGTTTGGACAGACAAAACATGAACCTATCTGTGTCACTCTATTTTAATTTTATTCACAAGGTGAAATGGGGATTTGCACCTTTTCAAAGTCTCTCTCTGAATTGCACGAATTTAGAAATATGAACCTGGCACCTCGGGGTGTTCTTTACCGTACACACAAATACTATGCTTTTAATTTTATCTTGTTTATGACTTCTCATATCCCCCAAAATAGAACACTGTATTAAATTCTCTGGTACCATGTAAATGCCTGACAGGTTATTTGGGACCTACAAATAAAAACTATATATATATATATATATATATATATATATATATATGTAAGCATTATGTGTGGAATTAACCAGAGTTTACAATACAAAAAAAACTGCATAAACCTGAAAAGCTGGTTATAAATAGTTTTGAGCATGTTTTACAGTACAGGTAACCATATGACTCACTGCAACCTAGACCAGTTTAAACTATGATGCATAGAGCGTGTGCACCAATTAACTTAAACTTGCAACCAGGAACATGGTTCTTTTAAAATTAAATGAAGAGCTTTGATCGTGGAAATATCAGAGGAGCAAAACTATGACTGAGGTTCTTGAAGGAATTTGCTCAGTAACCAGAAAGTTTTAGGAGTGACTTTATGCACCTAAAGGGGAGTCATGTGAAACGCAAGTCCATCCAACTGCAACTCAGGTCAGTGTCTTTGGTCATTCCACTATCCTCTATGAAGATTCAGCTTTCTTTAACTCAGTGTCCTTGGTGATATCACTGTTTGCAAAGCAACTCCAACTTACTTCAACTCAGGGCAACTTAGAGGTAATTAATCTTCCCGAGTTAATTCCACAATTCGATTAAAAATGCTTATAATGCATATCAAAGCTGATTGAGTATTCTGCTAGTGATTCCATAAAAACTAAATTATGCTTCAATAACAGTGAATGGATGAAGACTTTGTGGATAAGGATGGCCATTTCATCCATGTGGATACTATTTAATTACAGTATTATAGCACTTTCAATATTGATTTGCCAGCTCCTCCAATAAAGTTAACCCTAGGTCGGGGGTAGGCAGCTGTCAGCACACCAGATGTTGTGGACTAATATGGGAGATGTAGTCGATAACATCTAGAGTGTCGGAGGCTGCCTAAGCCTGCCCTACGTGATAGGTGTTGAACAATGCTCATTTTCAGACTACTGAAGTGAAATGTTTTCCCAGCATCTCTACATGGTGAACCCTTTCTTTTGTACGTTAAGTGTGCCCTTGTTTCCAAATCTAGAACCAGCTTAATTAGAATGATAATAAACAAGGTAGCGATGCCACTGTATCCAGGTTAATTAGACGTTTAAACAGTATGTGAGCCTCAAAGAGTTAATGCTCCGTTAGCTTGATTACATTTGACGTAAACCTAAAAGGACCTTTGGAGCCTTTTATGACTACAGCGTAAAGATTATAGACATCTCAACCCTCGATTATTATGAGAATAACTGTGAGTGGTCATTGTATGCAGAATAAACTTCAATTCAGTTTTAACAATGACAACTTGGTGACCTTTTGAGCTTCCTATGAGCTTTAGAAATGGAAAAGGTCCCTGTCTATTAATTTGCTTAATTTGTAATCCAGCTTTCACCTAAATCACAATCTCCTTACTTTCAAGCAGCTCTTCCAGCTGTTGATTAATTTGTCATTTTTTGAATTATTAATAGCAATAATATAGAGTAATTGCAAAAAAAGGATCATAGGTGGATTTTCTGTGTATGCTGATAAGCAACTTTAAAGGAAGCACTCGTTGAAAAGCTATTTATTTTGTTATATTTGTTTTTTATATACAGATATATTTGGTGTCTGTGAGGTCTGATAAGTTTATTTAGAAGTCCACATTTTATTTACCTCTGTCACGGAGCTATACGCCTCCATCTTGGCATCCAGTTGGTGATTAATATGAGCTCTGTGCTGCTTCTGTCATACAACATAGTATGTAGGGCTGAAGAAATTAATAACACATACAGGGGGTTTTGCTCCCCAATGTTTACCCCATATACTGCCAATATATTATGCATATCATGAGGTAAACACTATGTTGTGTAATGAAAGCTAGAAAGTAATCTGCCTGTTTCATGGTGCTCTTGGAGAGTGGAAGATGGAACTGGGTTGGGGAATGGGAGATGGAGCTGTGTCAGAGAGAGGGAGATGGAGCTTTGTGGGAGCAGGATATGGAGCTAGGTGGAAGAAAGGGAGATGGAGCTGGGTCAGAGAGAGGGAAATGGAGCTGGGTCAGAGATGGAGATGGCACTGGGTGAGAGAGAGGGAGATGGAGCTTTGTGGGAGCAGGATATGGAGCTAGGTGGAAGAAAGGGAGATGGAGCTGGGTCAGAGAAAGGGAGATGGAGCTGGGTCAGAGAGAGGGAAATGGAGCTGGGTCAGAGATGGAGATGGCACTGGGTGGTAGAGAGGGAGATGGAGCTTTGTGGGAGCAGGATATGGAGTTAGGTGGAAGAAAGGGAAATGGAGCTGGGTCAGAGAAAGGGAGATGGAGCTGGGTCAGAGAGAGGGAAATGGAGCTGGGTCAGAGATGGAGATGGCACTGGGTGGGAGAGAGGGAGAGGGAGATGGAGCTTGTGGGAGAGAGGGAGAGAGGGAGATGAGCTGGGGAGAGAGGAAGCTGGGTCAAAAAAGGAGATGGAGATGGGTGGGAGAGAAGGAGATTGAGCTGAGGGATAAGAGTGGGATGGAGAGGTGAGAGTGAGATGGAGCTTGAGGTAAAAGATGGAGCTTGTGGGAGAGAGAGAGATGGAGCTGGGTTAGAGAGAGGGAGCTGGGGAGAGAGGGAGATGGAGCTGGGGAGAGAGGAAGCTGGGTCAGAGAGAGGGAGATAGAGCTGGGTTGGAAAGAGGGAGATGGAGCTGAGGGATAAGAGTGGGATGGAGGTGTGTGTGTGTGTGTCTGTCTGTCTGTGTGTGTGTGTGTCTGTGTGTCTGTGTGTGTGTGTGTGTGTGTGTCTGTGTGTGTGTGTGTGTGTGTGTGTGTGTGTGTCTGTGTGTGTGTGTGTGTGTGTGTGTGTGTGTGTGTGTGTAATTTAATTGCGCGTCAGGGAATTGTATAAAATAAATATCCAAATTATTTGATTGTTTTAGCCAAAATTTTGCAATTTAGATTTTTATTTGCATTAATTTTAAATTTAGAGAATAACCCTGCTTGTGTCCTAGTACTTGTTGAACCCAGTGCCAAATTCCAGCTCTGTAATATATCCAACAAGGAGTGTTCTAATATGACTTAGCAATAAATAGAAAAACGTCTTTATTTTGGACAGACGTGTAAAGCATACAAGTCCGTCCCATTACCAGATTTTTGGGTAATAGGGCTCAAATGTCTGTATGCTGTTGCATGTCTGCACAAAATAAAGCAGTTCTTTTGTGTGTAAGTTTCCTTCATGTTGGAGAAATATGTTTTAGTTTTATGTTTCTATTTTCACCGGTATATCGCTGCACTATACTGGAGCAACGCATTGTAGGACTGGTGTAACGATTTCCAGGGCTGCTTTTTATCCAAGCCCAGCTTTCTTACTCTCGGGCACAAGGACTTCATCTTCCTACTGATATATCCGGCTTTGCCGAGGATCTAGCTTGGCAACTTGCAAAACCTAGATTTATCCTTCCTAGAAATATATATTTATTTAACCCCTTAAAGACCAAACTTCTGGAATAAAAGGGAATCATGACATGTCACACATGTCATCTGTCCTTAAGGGGTTAATGGCAAATTGTATTTATTTCATGTAAAGAAACATTTCGCCACTTGGTTTTAAGGATTTTTTGGGGCAGTCCCTCAGGAGCTGAGAGGCAGCAATTGTCATATTCTGCTTTTTAAAATAAAGTTTTCATCTGACAACACCTACAAAAAAAATTCTTAAACTTGTTAAGATTTCAGATATCAGAAAGCCTTATAGAAAAAAAAAACACTCTCATTGATTTTTAATGTTAATAAATAAATAGAACCAAATGGGCCCATCACTATATAAAAAGAAAAAAAAATTGAAAGGGAAGAAATTGAAAAAAATGAAAGAGTTGAAAGAAATAGGCATTCGGTGTTACCCTTTTCTGGTCTCTGCTGCTTACACTTCATTAAAATCTGTTCAGCACAAGTGTTCGTGTTTTTGATTTTCAAGATTTCCTGCAAATGGAATGTTTACAGTTTTAACTGCTTGTTTGATTTAAGAACAAATCCTCTCTGAATTCTTCTGACTGACTAAAAAGCTCAAAAAACACGTGTTTAAAAAAATGCCGAAAATTTTAAATCCCCAACTTTCCCTAATTTCTCTCTTTTTTTTCCTTCACTTAGTTGTCAAAGCGTAATGTGTTCAGACGACAACACAGAGGTTTTTTTTTTATTATTTCTTTTGCAGTCTTGTAGAATCTGAGTTTTAATAATATGCTTTCACTTAAAAGGAATCTGAAACTAGTTTTGGCACTGTCCTCAGAGCTATATAGGGTTTTGTTTTCTACTGCAACCAGTTATCTTCAAAGAACTGTAACTGAGAATACGTAACGTGCAGAATACTCTGTAATAATCTGCGAATGTGGCTGCGGATATTCATTTAACAAGCCACTGTTTTCGTACATTTTTTTATGGAAGTGGATAGTGAACATGCTCTATTTGTATAATATCAATGTATCAAAACAGAAAATGATATTCTATGATTCTTTTTTTTGACTGTCCCATGGGAGGGTGGAGCAGAGTTTTTGGATGTAAGGTTCCAATACCTACTGACTGCTTTTAAAGAAGTTATTAAAACGTAGTACTTTTTACCTGTGATTGGGAATGGCTGAAATGTTCCTCTTAAAGGTAACACATGAGAATTAAAGGAATATTCCACCATAACCACTACAAACATGCTGTGCATTAATGGCCTCCCTTCCACCCAGTGTTGGTAGTCAAACAGCTTTAGAACAGTTTGATTTCTTATCTGGTGTCCATCTGGTGTAGCTTGCGCTGTGTTAGACTCGAATGCTGATCTAAGCCAATTAGCTAGCGCTAAACTTTGGGGTTTTGCTCTGGAGAACTACTAGAAGCTCCTTAAGGAGCTCCCAGCTCTCACGTCCAGGCCCGGCAGACCGCAGGTAAAAAGTCAAACTATCCTAAAAAGGTTTGACAATTTACTATGAGGGGAGTGTTATGGCACTATAGGCACCATTACCACTAAGAAAAACATTCAAACTATCAGAATTGTCCTTTTACATATGATCAGAATTATCAGTTTGACCTTTTACCTGGATCCTCTGGGCACAGCTCCATGCCTCCACAGCTGTTCATTAAGAGCTATGAAACTTCTGGCTCTCACTTCCGCCTGCCGGGAGATGGGGACCAGTACCTTTCGGGCACCAATGCTAAAATGGGGGTTGCCATGGAACTCTGGTTACCATAACCACTACAGCTTTCAGTGCTCCTTTAACATCTTTTTTGTCTCTTCAAAAAAAAAAATGAATTTCATCTGAGCATTTAAAAATCCACAAAACCAAGCAAAGAAAATAAGAAAATTGCTATTTTCATCTAATTTGACAAGTAAAAAATTTAACTTCCCACATCTGAAAAAGCCAGTCAGAGGGAGTTTGGCTGATGATAAAGCAAATATGGTGATTTCAGGCAAGGAGACAGGGTGGCCTTGGTGAGAACAGCATAGAGAGGGAGTAAAGGTACGTAAAACTACCTTTTAAGCCTCCTTGGGGGGCTGGACATCTACATTACAAGATAAACAGCCCTCTAGTGGCACTAGATGTGGCTATCAGGAAGACAGTGATACATGTTTGCATTCCTGTCGCTACAGCGAAGCAATTTGAGGCTTTTCTTTGGAACAATTTGGAAATTGCAAATATGTTCCTCACAAAGTATGGTGGCAGCTGATTTTTATCTACCGTTTGATATTCATTTTAAAATATGAAAATGAGGCACAATAAATCAGAGACTCATTTTAAAGCATAAATGCCGTGCAGTAATATAAAAGTATCACAATAAAGTAAATATTTTGTATCTATACATTGTGCTGTCAATTCGCTATCAAAACTTACACTTTAGCTGTGTGCAACTAGTATTGAGGAGACAAATATAATATTGCTCTTAAAACACTTTTCTTCCCATAAGCCTGTGTGGCTTTGCACAGTGCCAGATGGTCACCTCACACTAAGCATGGTGTATAAACATATGAAGGTGGTGATGTCCACACACCCTCTTGTGTTGACTTCAGCAGCTATGTTTGTGCACTTTTGTGGAAACTTTGAGGTACTTATAACCACAGAGACATTTCCAGCAAAGGATTAGGCAACAGATAACCTTCCAACAGTTATAAAACTACAGTTCCCATAATGCTTGACCAGCATATAGGCTATAAGCTTAGTCAGCCTAATGTTGCAATGCAGGCACAGTAACCAATGTCTTCCCAGATATATTCACCAGGAGCATTGCTAAAGGCAAACATACTGGGGCTCCTGAATAAGGCAAATTATGGCCCCTTCCATAATAACTGATTTAACTCCCTCCTAAAACCTGCCCTATGCCATGCCCCAAGTCCAACCTTAAACTCTAACATGAATCTATGAATCTGTTTATGACTCCAGAACTCTTAATGAATTCAGAATATTAGATAAACTCCAACCATGTAGTATTGCAACCAAGCCATGTTTTATTAACTCTAAACTCTACTTCAGTCACAGCAGCACTGTGCTATATACTCGACTCCAGACTTGTTGCATTAATGTAGCACTGTCACAATGTAACGTGCAATTGGAAGTGTTAGTTATCTGTCAGGTATTGCAGTAGGCCCAGGGATAACAATGACAGGGTGCCAAAATTAGTCCAAGGGGGTTTCAGGACCCCATTCAGGACTTCAGCCCCTGTCAGTCGTCCCCTGGCAATGCTGTTCAGATCCCGAAATCAAGCCTTCATCATCCGGAAGACCTACTGCTCACCAGAAGTATGACATTAAGTCAACATTGTTTTTTCATGAATCCTCAATTCTTCAGAAAAAAAAGAGCCAGAGGGTTGTAGACTAAGGGTCAGAATCAATAATTTATGCTAGATCAGGCTGAATCAAGGCTTGCCCCTCATGGCAAATGTAAGACACTTCGCTCATTGCTATGAAATATGTCGTAAACGGCTCCAGAAACACAAAAGATTAATCATGACTTAAGGCTGCTCTTTTTATGACCGAGTTCACTGCGATATTAAATCTTTCATGTTATTTTAGCAGTGTTAGCGGTATTTAATTTATGTGGAGCTGCCTTAAAGTGTTTTATAAATAAATGCAAATTGGTGAATAAATGGTTTCTTTGCTTATTTTTTTTTTTTTTTTGTATTATTCACCCTTTCACGGTGAAACATACTATTTATTTAGTGTAGTATAAGAAATCTGGATGATTATTTAAATAGAGGTATCTGTTTTTTTATGTATTCTTATAGAACGTTAAGCAAAAAGAAAAAAAAAATTAAATAAACTCACTTTAACAACAAATCCCATGCTTATCTTTAAAAATAAATAAATAAGAGAACTTATATCAATTTAAATTTCATTATTGATATAGCACATTGTGATGTGATAAAATGCACACAAATGTGTTCCACAATTTCTATGTAGTGATCCCTCTCTGTAGGGGCTCCAATTCTATACTGTACCTCCCAGCATCAGACGAAGACAGACAAATTGCATTTTGGTTTTTGCTTTGTTTTGTTTTTTTATTTTGTTGTTTTGGGCATGTGAAACTCACTGATTCTCGAAAATATCCAAGACAGCCAGTTTGCAATCATGGGCGCCTACCTAATAGAAACATAGAATGTGACGGCAGATATGAACCATTCGGCCCATCTAGTCTGCCCAATTTTCTAAATACTTTCATTAGTCCCTGGCCTTATCTTATAGTTAGGATAGTCTTATGCCTATCCCACGCATACTTAAACTCCTTTACTGTGTTAACCTCTACCACTTCAGCTGGAAGGCTATTCCATGCATCCACTACCCTCTCAGTAAAGTAATACTTCCAGATATTATTTTTAAAACTTTGTCCCTCTAAGTTAAGACTATGTCCTCTTGTTGTGGTAGTTTTTCTTCTTTTTTTAATCACTGATGGACATCCTAATGCAATACCAATTGCTTTCAATTAAAAGAAACAATGTGTCATGGAGCAGCCCATAACTCCCGTGTACGTGTGCAACCCGGCCCCATTTGCCAGCCGTCTGCTGCAAGGCATAGAAAAGAGGAAGCTGGTAGCCTTAATGATCCAACCATAGCCAGTCAAAGTAAGATCACTAGTCTGATTCTTGCTTATCTTTTCATAGTACCAAACATATGGCTAATTGTGAACTGAAACATTTAGAAAGATGTAATAAAAAGATGTGATTTGATAGCGTTTGACACAGATCTGTGCAAAGCAGAACAAATGAATGACTGTACCTCTTGTGTCTTGTGAATAAACACATCTCCCACTAGATAATCGTTTCCCAAATTCAAGTTATTAGCACACACTCATTTTCAAGGTTAACAGATATCCCTGCTTCACCACAGGTTGTGAAATCATGCATGGATCCATAATTTAGAAATTGTGCTAATAGTTGCAAAACAAAGCAAACTTTAAGAACCTCCAGCTGACCAGCTACTCGGAGAGCTGAGGCCTAACTGCCAAAGTGGCCGCCCTGCTGAACCCTACGATAATGGCTGCCTTTCAAATTCAAAGTCACATATATCAGCTACTCCTGACATTTGATAGAGTGTGCGTGGATTTTTGGGCAAAACTATCAGAGACTTACCACTACCCCTACTGAATGAGTTACGGTCCCACAAAGTCATCATGCTGAGCGACTCATCTCTCACAAGCACCTTCAACATGTTCCCATAGGGTCATGGAGGAAAATAAGGCACGAGAAGCCACTGTGGCGGTCGGCTCTCCCTCATCGCTTAGGTCTTAACACTGGCCGCTACTCTACCCGAATGCAGCGCTATACACCTCTCCACCCACAGGTTGCCTAGTATCTAGTATTCAAATAATGGATCTTTTGATTATAATGAAGAACATGTCCCAATGCATTGTCAGTGACTTGTATTTATTTATCTAGGTAAGGCTCATGGGAAAGCTAGTTTGCTGATGTCTAGAGGTCAGCTTTTATAAAGATTTCTACCAAAGTAATTTTCCTTAATCCACCTGTGATGATGCAAGTCTTAAAATATGTACTGCTGAGGTCTTTGAGGACTGGAATTTGGGAAGCAATGCCTGAGATTTGAAATGATTTTAGCAAATGTAGAATTAACTGAAAATGTTCGCTGGATTCTCAGCGGGTTGAGGAAATGGGTCAATGATGTGACCAGTAGGCTACTCTCTTCCGTGATATGCAGCTAAGAAGTACCTGGACATTAAACACAACTTCTTTCACATTCTGGGATTAATAAGTGAACTTTGCTTACAGGGTTATTCATTAAAGTTGGAATTCATGGTGAATTCATGGTGAATTTCAAATTTCAGGTCAAAACAGGCAAACTGGAAAAAATGTATGTCAGCTATGCTTCCATTCAACTTCTCTTAAATTTGAAATTGACTTTGAAATCACTTTGAATTCTCATGTTAGTGAATATCCCTGTTAGTCACTGTACTAACAGTCTGAATTTTAGCAGCTTTGACATAGAAGAGATAAGTTTATAAAAAAAGAGGAATATTTTTATACCATATTATCGGAATAGCAAAGTATTTCACTTTCAAAGATCACATGTCAAGTTAATTAACCCAAAAATAAATTACCCATGAATAATTGAGTATCTCATTCATTGCAAATTTGCTATCTGTCAAATAGCTCCACATGATATTTTAGCCTACATAATATACATAGATTATTCTATGGGCCGTATATTCTAAATCAAGAATCACGTAGAATTAACAAGATAATTGCTTATCTTATGCCAAATATCAGAATCTTTTCCAGTTTGGTTATTTTGATTTGCGTAAACTGAGAAATTCCCTTGTCCTTCCCTCAAAATTAATAGTTTAGAGAATAAATGTTACATAGTTACATAGACTGAAAAGAGTCTTGTGTCCATCAAGTTCAGCCTTTCTCACAGTTTTTCCTGTTGATCCAAAAGAAGGCAAAAAACAGTTTGAATCGCTTTCCAAATTCATAACAAATTAGGAAAAAACTTCCTTCTCGGCCTAAGAATGGCAGTCAGATCTCTCCTTGGATCAAGAAGCTATTACCCCATCAATTAAAGATTATAAACCTAAAAATTATGTTTTTGCAAGTATTCATCCAACTGCTGTTTAAACATCTGTGTAGACTCTGATAAAACCACCTCTTCAGGTATAGAATTCCACATCCTTATTGTTATTACTGTAAAAAAAATTCCCTCTCCTTTAGACTAAATCTCCTTTCTTCTAGTTTAAACGTGTCACCTTGTGTCTTACATATAGACCTGTTTGATGTTGCATGGAATATCTGTATGATTTTTCCAAGTAGAAATATAATAGTTATATTTACTATAATTCTTCTTTCTATTTTTATACTATGTTTATTGCATAATTCACAAATCATATAGGGGTTTATGTACTATACAGTGTTTTGTGCTGTAATGACAGCTGATATGCAAGATTTAAGCCATAACAGCAAAGTTAGAGAAACTCTCCGAATGAACCAAATGGAGCACTTTGTCTTTCTCGACTACTATAGCCTAAATGTTTCAACCCAGCCGTCAGCTCACCATAACTCACTACTTAGTAAATAACCCCCATTTGTCTTCGTTGTATTTCATTTTGCATAATGACTTGCGCTGTTGAAAATTGTAGGTTAACATACAGACATTTGTTATTTGTCATGACAACCTTCCAAGATAATAATGAAAAGAACATGCATAAAATCTGTCCTCTGTTGTTTCAGTTGGCAGCGCATTGACGGCAAAGTGATTTGTGTCAAGTAAAGGCCTTAAGTGGATGTCTGCTTATTTGTTTGCATTTTTTTTAATATTGTAGTCTGCGCAGAGTATAGAAGCTGCAATACATCAGTCAACATGGCTTTCTATAGCTTGAATATGGACATCGAAGATATACACTTTTAGTGACCATGTATGCCTGGGATCTACTGTTTGGACACCACTGCTATGTTACATTGATTGAATAACTAATTTAATGATGTGTCTGTATAGAATGAAGGACAGAAAGGCACTAAAAACAAGACACATACAACACTCAAAAAAAAATGTCTACACTTACACAAAATATACAGGTTAAGGTAGCAAAAAGTTTAAAAGTTTTCCAAATTGCCGTAGTGTTTTAAGTCTACCACTTCATCAGACTACCCATCAGGATCCTAACCTAATTTACACAGAGGAAGCATTGCTGCCTATACTTCTAAAATGGGCTCTAGATGGGTAACATTCTTAAACAAAGGATCTTAGTCTTATCTCAAACATAATATAAGATAAATAAACAGAGATAGATTATCTATTAGCCCAGTGAGTAATGAAAAGCCAGGACTCCATGTTTTAACACACCTTTTGCCAGTCAAAATCTGGAAAAGGCTCATGTCCAGTGTAGTTAGGCATAAGCTATGAAACAGGTATTGGAAGTAGGTCATAGAGATCAATGTCTACAGACTGCATCATGGATTTATTATTCATTTATTTATTAAATATTATCTGATTCTGCACTTATGCACAATTGGGCGTGGGCAAGCCATATGTGCCATCATACCTCAGTGCCAAGCTACTGTTTGAAAGTGCGACATCTATTGAAATATAAATGGTTTTGTCAAGCAATCAGAAGTATATATGCAATCACTATATGTCTGTCTGTCTGAATGTTGATGGTACAATGTATTGCATTTTGTACTGGAGTTTCGCTATTCGTCTCCATTGCGCTCCATTTTTTAAGCTTTTATATTGAAATTATATTTGGAATTAAATTTAATAACACATATCTTTAAAATAAAATAAAAATATGTCTGTCTGGCTTATATAGGAATGTATTTTATGTGAATCAGGGCTTTGCCTTTTTTACGAAAATGCACAATGCCCTTACCAACTATTTTGTCTGGTACTCTCTTTTGCTAAATATACAATTTCTTTACAAATGTGCAAGCTCGTTTGGTTAAAGTGCAAACTGTAGTACCTGTTCAAAGCCTAAGGTTCTACTCTAGGCATTCTCAACTCACTTTTAATCTTTCTGAATTCAATATAAATCGCCATTCAGTTGGTAAACAAAAAATCCAGGCCTCAATCTATTTTTCCAATTAGACTATTTTGGCTATTTATCTACTGTAGTCAAATTTCAATTGTATAAAACGAGTCTGCACTTGATGGCAAGTTTTATAGTAAATACGGTTTGAAATCAGCTCATGTATTAGAGAGACTGTGCTATAATGGAAGATCTGTCTATAAAAACGTGACTGCTTTCAGTGGGTACTGGATATTTGAAATGCAAATATAAATCCAGTGAAAGATCTAACTGCTTTGCCTATGCAGTTTCTCTGGCTTTTAGACATCTGTAAGACACTAGTCTGCCTTCGACATGTCTCTGTTATTCAAAAATTAAATCACAATATTTGGCATTCTCGAGACATCAAAATTTTGTCACCAGCCTATGTGGTAGGTAGAACGGATCAGTCTTGGCTGACGCCTTGTCTACTGTGCTGAGGGATTTGCAGTAGCAGATCTTGAAATTTAGATATTAAATAATGTTCCTAAGTAACTGAAGCTGTGAAATGTTTAAACCAATATGCTTATGAATTAGGGAGCATTTAACCATCATTCTTGGAATAACGCTTCCAAAGATTATTTCAATGTACATTGTAAAATTAAAAAACAAATGTAATTTTATTTGTATTGTTTTTAAGGTTAATGAGCTGTGGCTACGCATTTCTCCTTATTCTAAACAGATGGTAGTTTTCAATTTCTCATTTGGGACAATAGGCTGTGGACATCTCAAAACAGGTCTGTCTTGTTTTCGAAATACGGCTGCTTTGATTATGTTTTACAATTAGTCTCAATAAAACCGTAAAACATATCCTGCAGCTTACAAAGTAGCTAAGGCTTATAAAACGATATACTTTGTCATATTCTCTTTTAATGAGGTTGAAGAGAACATTAGTTTTGTTTGTTTTGGGTAAACTGAGCAGGCTGTCCTCTTTGTATATCTCTTTTTATCAATAGAATGTTTTCCTGTAACGCTCAAAGAAAGAAAATGTATCTTCGTAAAATATAATATCGGGTTGCTGGGAAACGCTCAAGTTATTTACAAATAAGCTGTGGATAATATATTCTCCCATAATCCATTGCTGTTGACTTATCATTATTGAAAGTGGTTTATGTTTGACCAGTCACCAGAACAGATGGTACTGCAAGTATTGTGCAATGAGAGCATATCAGCAATTGTCATTGGCATTTCTATTTAACCCCTTAAGGACCAAACTTCTGGAATAAAAGGGAATCATGACATGTCATACATGTCATGTGTCCTTAAGGTGTTAAAGGGGAATTGTAATTTACCTTGAATGTGCACTTTGAAAATCACCTACAACCTGTGGCCCTAGGGTATATTTAGGGTTTCTGGCCAGTTGTTGATGCTGTGTAAGTAAATAATAGTAATGTTAACACCAATATCAGACACTCTATCTGTATCTTTATTTATTTAGATTAGACTTGTTGTGATAACATCATTTTATGATTTACTTTTTATTGATAACTAGTAGTAACAGTCCATTCCACTTTAAATGGATCTCATTATCTATGATCAAATGCAACCCTGAAGGACACTTCGTTATAAACATTTGTTTCTAAGGCTTATTAACCACATCAGTATGAGTGCTAAAGGAACATGTCTTTTTTTTTTTTTTAGACTACTTGAAATCATTTTAATATCATTTAAAAGAGCAAGGCTCTATACAACAACTAAAAATGGCAGCAGATTATGATGTATTGCAAAGCAGAATAAAAGTCATGTTGTTTCAAGACTGGCAAGGGAAGGTATATACCACATATAGTCCATGAATATCATGGATTAGTTTCAAGAGGTTTGTTCATGCCATGAGGAGATTGGAATGATGTGAAATGTTACATCACGGAATCTTTTCTTGGCTTAGTCTTTTTCATGAGGAGGTTGTGGTTTTCAGAGTAAAAAGGGACACTACAGGCACCCAGACCACTTCTGCCCATTGGAGTGGTCTGGGTGCCAACTCCCACTACCCTTAACCCTGCAATTGTAATTATTGCAGTTTTCATAAACTGCAAATATTTACCTTGCAGGGTTAACTCCTCCTCTAGTGGCTGTCTACTCCTTCCTGATTCATAGCACAGGTTTTTCAATGCTTTCCTATGGAGAACTCTAATGCAATGCCGCACATGCGCATTAGGTTTCCTCAGCGGGCGGGATGAGTCTGCCCCGACGGCTGACATGAGGAAGGGGCGGAGCGGCGGCGACCCGAAACCACCACCGAGGGACATCGGCGGGGGTCTCAGGTAAGTCACTGAAGGGGTTTTCACCCCTTCAGCAACCAGGGATGGGTGGTTGGAGGGAGAGGTGATCTGCAGTGCCAGGAAAATGGATTGTTTTCCTGGCACTGGAGAGTCCCTTTAACCTATGCGTATCTGCTATATCTGTCTGTCTATCCGTCTGTCTGTTTATCCTATAAAAAATGGCAGTTAGTTGCGCTGAATTAAAAAAATATTTTATTGTTTCCATTTTAGGGTAAACAAAAATAAATAAGGACTTACCAAACATATATTGTAACAAAGGTTGAACAAAAAAGTTAAATCAAAGTTTATTCATTGTAAAAGTGAGTTCTGGGAGCATGTGAGACTCCATAACTCCTCTCCGGTGCTCCGGGAGTTAAATTTCTAATCAGGAACAGGGTTTTGCATAACTGTAAATCCCTGTCTCTGTTCTATGGCACGAGGAGTTCACGCATGGTTTTAATTTTATTTTTTACGAAGTTAAAAATATCCACAGCAGCAACTATACAGCTGTGAGTCAGTGATGGAGTCATTTTAAACAAGTACAAAGCGATAAGTTTATAAAGAGAAAAAATAATGTGGACTCACAAAACAAGCATTTGACCAGTAGCTCTTTCTTTTACTTTGTTTATGAGTAGTTTGCATAGTTCTGACTTATGAATCACTGCCTAATCCTTGCGGCCAGTTTAGAAAGTGACATTGTGACGGGAGAATCATACAGTAGCTATACAATGGGGTAATGGACACCATCTGATTGGAGCAAATTACCGTCTTCCTCTCAAAATGAAAGCATTGTTCTGATAGAGCGAGCACATGCTGTGAAGTCACTACACCCACTGCATGATCCTGTACTGGACTCTAAGTCATATCCCAGTTTCGGCAGATAGTCGCTAAGTCAGTGCCCAGAATAGTTGAAAAATGCCAACATCTAAAATAAATTAAATACGCTCACCTTACATTGGCTTACTCCAAGGATGCAATATAACGGCTTCAGAGAAGCTCAGAAACAATGGGGGAGTTTATGAAAATGTTCTGCTCTAAAAAGTGGTCTCAAGCTCTTGAAAGTAAGTCCATCACCATGGAAATCAGTAGAACCAATGGGAACATTGTATTTTATATTTTTGCACAACTTTTTAGAACAAAACAGTTGGATAGGTCTACCGTACCGCTTTGAAAAGGATGTCACAGTAATGGATAAAAATTATCATATCTAGTCTTTCTGCTCCCAAAACTCCATAAAAACACATAGTAAGGCTATAGTCTCATAGCCAAAAAAAAGTTTTAGATTTTTGAACTGGTTTGGTGCCGACACATGTGTTCCAGCTCTTCTCTTGTATCTGTCAGCCTTGTAATAAAACTGTGCTTTTACACATTAAGAGTCATTCCTTGTGTATTAACTTCAAACTTCTCATATTCTAGTGATTTGGTTTTTAACCCTTCCTTCTCAGGCAGCTTAGGTTCGGCCTCAATGCATTGCTTTTTACCCCAGGTGGTTTTTTTGTGAATTAGTTGAGTATTAAAGGATTGAGTGAGGGGGGATTATTTATAACCCTAAGCTAAACGCTATGGAGTCTTTAACAGACCGTTTATAAAAAGGTGTTTGTTTTTTTTTGTGTGTAAACTCTAAGACCTGTGGATCTTACCACTTACCAGCCTGTCTGAAATAGTTATATATGATGTAAGCAGACAGCTGACATTTGTACATGAAGGATTTAAAATAATCCCATTTAAAAGTTGTCAATCATACAAATGGGATTTGAGTTGTAGATCGGAGTACTGTTATCAGTTATTACTTGAGAAATGTAGCATCTCTCTCAAGACTCTCGTTCTCTCTCTTTCTCTCTGGTTTTATGATCTAGTAGAGGCATAGGCAACCTTCGGCACTCCAGATGTTTTGGACTACACCTCCCATGATGCTTTGTCAGCATTATGGGTGTAAGAGCATTATGGGGGATGTAGTCCACAATCTCTGGAGTGCCGAATGTTGCCTATCCCTGATCTAGTAAATATATGAAGCTTCTGAATTGACTTCTTTTAAAGGACCACTCCACAAACCTATAACACTTTATCTCGTCAAAATGTTTTGACTTGTGACAATTGTGTCCTCTATCTTTCATTTTTTTTAAAGTGCAGCTTAAGCTTGAATCCTGTTATTTCCTAGCTCAGTGGAGCTAAATTCAAGAGGCAGCAATTGCCCAGGCATCACCAAACAGTGATTTTTATTTTTGGGCAGTGGCGTGGCACTTTAAACTACAGCAATATAACTTAAAATTATATAAATAAAAATATATTGAATGCTGCATTAGAGTTACAAAACTCAAGTGCACTGTGGCGGAACCAACCTCGTCACTGGGCACTGGAGAAGCCTGGTTGCTCGCCTGCTACCTCTAGACTATGGCCCTGTGTTTAAAACCTTGATTTTTCCCTGCAGAAAAGCTTGTTCGTGCCTTTCTGCCCAGGCGTTCGGTAGATGGAATCTATCGAACAAACAGACGAATGACCGGACCACCTGGGTATGGAGTGTGCCAGTAATTTACCTCCCAGAAGCTGCGGTTAACCGCAGCTTAATTGACGAATGCTGGGTGGCCGTTGTTCGTATAGCCGAACACGTGGCAGCGGCCATCTTAAACTGCCGAACGGCCAGCGATGTTCAGCTACAAAACTATGGAACTAATAACGGACAGTTATATTCATGAACACCGCTGAGCCGTCAGCCTCCTTGCTTCTGCATTCATTCATTTAACCGGATGCCTGTTCATTCGGTAGTTTAACCGTATGAACAGCATGACCCCAGATAGCCATGCCATGGAGCCTATTCGTGTAACGAAAGCCTATGGGAAAGACTTTGACTCCATGGCGATTGAACTGTATGTATGTGATCTGAGTGCCATTCGGTAATAATGTGCGCTCAGATCTAAGCTATCTGGGGATATGTTGAATGAATATGTTTTATACAGTATTGGTAACATTGTATATTTTTATGTCTTTTTGTTAACATGTGGTCAATGGAGTTTTGCCTCTATCCTTGGAGATAATTGGATTACTTCCCAATTATCTCCAGGATAGAGAGGATGGACTGTAATGTACCTGTGGGAGGGCTTAACTGTGTATGTCCGTGATTGGTCACCTTGCTATTTTGTCCCAGTCTTCCATCTGGTCCCCTAGGGGAGTGTCCACCAGGTGGAAGACCTGCATAAATACCGGGCAGGTAGCCCACATTAAACCAGATCACTGCTTGACCCTCAACACGGAGCTTTGTCTCGTCTTTGGGGGGATTTACTGTATGCTGCTTCAGACCGATTGCCAGGAGTGTAAACTGTTCGTATGGTTTTTCCTGTTCGCCTGTTTGCAGTATTCGTATGGTTCCAGTTCGGGAGTTTGAAGCATTCGTGTGTTTCCAGTTCGGGAGATTGGTGTTCTGCAGTAGCTGCCTGTATATCTGGAAGGGAATATCTCCTAAACGGCTGTTAACCCATTTTATGCCTGGGGTGCCGTAACATGCACTTTTCTGCATTAGCCAATATCAATGCCAAGAGTAAAGAATTATTTAATGGCACCATTGACATAGGGCACCTGTACCATTTGGCTTTCAGCATCCCTGAAATTCCCTTGCTAACTTTTGATTTACCCCAAATGCAAGACTACTGCTATTGTCATTTCTCAATAAAGAAATTCTAAATGGAACGAGTGCTATGGATTTTTCACATTTCTCTAGTATGTTCGTAAAAGTAGATTTCTGAACTTGTTACTATTGCTTCGCTGCAGTTGCTTAGTAACATGTCCCATATTGCCCTTACAATGCTTTTGCAGAATAAAGGATAGCTCATTAAAAATTAAATCTCTATGCTGCTTTGACATGTAGCCTTTACTCCAGGGAGCCCCTGGGTTTCCAAATCTTGGTTATAAATCCTGTGACAAATATTTGTGCATGATTCACTTTCCACAAGAAAAAAAATAGCAAAAAAATGAAAGTCTGTAACAATCTTGTAATGTGTAATAATGATAAACCTCACATAGTTATCTCAATGAAAAAAATGTTTCATCTTGTAGAATTCCTTGCAAAGTCAACACAATAAAGTAGATACAAGATGTGCCAGGAATAATTCAATATAAAATGTCTTTTGATTGGAGCATAGGCTACTTTTCAACTCATAGCGTTCGAGCATAAAAACAGATGTTGGAAGCTTGTGTGTGTGGTTTTTTTTTTAAATTCAAATTACTGCAATAATATAGGGTACACCATCTTTACTTAGAAATACAAAGATAACCCATCTGTGTAATGCCTATTTCTAATCTCCGTGAACAGATATAAAATAATCAGAAGGATTCAGGACCCTATTCCCCCCACCCACTTTCCCTAATCCAAAAGGAAACATCTAATATGAATCTGTCAACTCTAAAGGGACTCTATAGACGCCCAGCCCACTTTATGGCTATGATATGGTATGGGTGCTATGCCCCTGTCTTTTTAATCCTGTAAGTGAAATTATTGCTGTTTTGCAGGAACGCAATGTTTTCTTCCAGGGTTACCACAATTCAGTCAGTGACAGTCACGTAGACAGCCATTAGAGGTGCTTTCACAGCTGTACCCTATTTCAACGCAATTATAGCTCAATAGAGTCTCCTAGAGAGCTTTTGATTGGCGCAGTGCAGCGTTTTGCCATTGCATGCACACTAGTCTCCCAATGCTTCCGTAAGGGAAGCATTTGGAGAGCATTGGATTGGCATTGCTTTGGCTGAGGTCATTAATCTTATTGTCTCAGGAGCCAGGGAGGTGGAGCAGCTGCGGTGAGATTAAGGTAGCTAATTCTTATCTTTTAAACCCATGTAAGGAAGGGCGGACACCTACATATACCTACAGGCAGGGGAACACTAAAGCATTAGTGATACATGTTGTATTCCTATCTCTATTGTGTTCCCTTTACGATTGTGTATATGATACTGCTTTGAATCACTAATATAATTATTTGATTTAAATTCGTCTCATCAGTAGCTTAGACGTTTTGTCTTTTACGCTGTAAAATATACACGAACCCCTACACATTTTGGGAGTTTCATGATAATTAGGAATGTAGGACCATGACCTTAAGAGGTTAATATACATTTTCCAAACTGTATAAATTGCAACGCATGGGTCATGTTTAATTTGAAGGGACAACAATCAGGGTTATGTACTATTGTAAGAATTGTCATTAATTCAAAGTGAAATCTTTGTGAATTTAAAATTAGCGGAAGCTGAAAAATGAATAAAATAAAAATGTAATAATTACACTTGGCACCGTGTAGTCTTGGAGATAGTCTTTAAAGCAGATTTGTCACTTTTTAGTATTTAATAAAGATATAATCTTCATGAAATACTGATTAAGACTGTGTTGGAATTTCACAGAAATTCTCATACAATCCAGAGATACCATAAGAAAAAATATGGACTACTTTGTCTTATAAACAAGCCTGAGCTTGACAGACATTTACAAAAGGTGAAGCTCCTCTGTCAATTTATGGCCAATCCCAGCAGCAGTCACAAATGATGGCTGTGGGATTTAGGCTTTTCTATGAAGGAGCCATGTGCAAGAGTACAGCACTGATGTGGACCCTGGAAGTGCATGGAGTCAAAGAGGACCTCTATCGTGAACATGACAGTGGTTCTGAGGGACAGCCAGAGGTAAGTAATACTCATCTCCCCTGTACTGCACGGCCACCGGACCCTGATCAGATGTGTCCAATTCAGGGGTATTTGCAAAATATGCAAAGACCATAAAATTGACAGATCTGCTTTAAAAAGACCATTCATTAAGCATTGAGCTTTCTTTGAACGATTAGCAGAAAGTAGCAATGCTTGTGGCTTCTCAAAGATGGAAAAGGGAGTTGTGAGATTTTAATTGAAATAACAAAATAATGCCTGGTTTTGCTGTAGATCATATTTCTTAGTTCTGTGTCATATATGTTGCACAAATGCTGCTATAAACATTTGTCCTTACAGCTTTATTAGTTTACATGGCGAGTCAGGAAATCATTCACACAAACATCCATTCCCAGTGCATTCGCCACAATGGCCACGTTGACCGAACCAACAAGGCACATTATACTTAGTATCTTGCTGAAGGGACTATAACTGGAATTATGAAAATAAATATTTATAAAAAACTGTCACGTATTCATCCGCTTATAAAAATGTGGTTAATGACATTTACTGTCCACACAGGAAAAGTTGTACCGAGCAGCAACCTAATCCACAGAAGGGTTAATGCTGAGCAGCAATTATGCAAATGGGAACCTCTTAACTGCTTTGGGGTCAAAGGCCGGTTACAGACTATCAGTTACTAGAGGAGGGGTATTTAGAGGAGGGGTATTTAGGCCCAGTTCTCATCCTGCTCAGTGCCCTGTCGTGGTTTCCCTTGTGGTTGTCCGAGAGCGCGTTATTGATTCTGGTAATTCTGGTTATTTGACTTTGGCATTTTTTTTGACTTCCCCGTTTTCTGGCATCCCTTACTCCTGGCTTTTCCTTATCGTTGTGTCTCTTTCTGTTTCCCTTGACCTCGGCTATTACTGACTATTCTTTGGTACGTTAGTCCGGCCATTCTAAGGTCCGGTATACGTTACCTACCAGTCCTCTGTGTTATACAATTCTACGTGCTGGATCATTCTGTAATCCTGACACAAACACACTCAGATTATCATCTGATTATGTTCAAGGGGGAGTGGGAGGTTGTTATATTAGCTGTATATAACAAATGTGCTTAGAGGGAACCCTACAGGCTAGCTTTATGTAGAATTGTAAAACGAACTTGGGTGCCAAGCTGATGAACAGGGATGATGCTAAGACTAATAACGCATGTATCTGTGAAATGTTATAGGGGATTTGAAATTGGTGACAAATCAGTTACATGTTAGTAAAATATAAACTTCTTAAAGAATTAGATTGAATCTGTTTAAACATACTATACCATTCTATTCCTATGATGCTCTGGGCTCAGAACGCATGTTAAACATTGGTGGACACGGTGAATATTCACAGTCTAGTAGATGTTAATTATACAGATCTGTGTTTTCCACTATCCTTGGTCTATGCAAATACACAGAGTGGGAGGAATTTCTGAAAATATGTTTTATTCTTTAGCCATAGCAACTGGTAACCAGGCACCTTTGGCAGTAAATACCTCGACTGATTGGAACACAGGCTGCTGGTTCAGTTACTTAATAACTGTATAAATGTTATATTTAGAGTAGGGTATTCACGAATTCTGCATGGTTTTGGTCTTTGTCTTCATTAAACTGCATTTAAAACTATTACTTAAAATTAAAAGGCACATTTTATATCAAAGTTCATATTTGGAAATATTTAGGTTATTTAGAGCATAATATATTCATTTTTTAAAATAAAAAATATTATATTGATAGGGTTCCAATTGCTACTTTAAAATACAGTAAAATGTTCTGAAATATTGAATATAAGTTGTTGTTTTTTTAAATACCAGAAATGCACATTACTACAGAATAAAAAAACATTTTGTGACATGTTCAAAAAATCTACCAGTTTAGATCACTGAAGCCAACAGAGTGAAGCTAAACCTTTACCAATTATATTTTATAACCATCTCCATTTCCTTCTGTTTACCCTTACTCCGCTCGCGTTTTTTATATATATATATATGTCTTTGTCACAAAGTATTTTAAATATAAGTATTTAAATTTTTTATTTACATTCTGTATTCGTATTATTTGATATTTTTATGGTGTGTCTGTAGCATTTGTGCCAATGGGCATGGGTTATAAATTGATATGCTACATCAACCTTTAAAAATAACATTGTATTAAAAACACAATAGGTAGGGCATATGAAGATCAAGGGCACGGCATGGGTGGTTGATAGCAAGGAATACAAAGGACTAAGGAGTAGTCAGTGTAATTTACAGTCTATGACTGATGGTGGCCTTGGTGAGTTCCTCTTTCACAGAACATCTCCAAAAGGTTCCAAGTAGAACCCATCTTTAAGATGTCATGACATTTCCTTTTTGATGACTGTCCCCATTCACTTCAAAGGAAACCAGTTCAGAAATGTATCTCAGGGAAAGATTGTCAGATCCAAGTTGTTAGTAGGTTTTCTTTGAAATGAGCCATTTGCAGAAGGTGATAATGCTTTGAGCATTTAACTTGTCTCAGAGAGACACCATGATGCCTCCACCTACCCAATTCATCTTTAGGATGAAAATATAAATTTTTGGGTATCTCTCGCACTCATTTAGCCTCTAATGAATAATTACCTAATTTTGTTTTTTGTCTCTCTGGTTGCACAAAAGGTCTTGTATTTCCCCCTTGGTGGTTATGAATTTGGGGTTATCAAATAATATATTGTCATGTTGGTCCTTTTTTCACTTGTCTTATCATTCAATATATTACCATTTTTAATAAATTTTATATCTCTTTCTATTTTCTCTGTTTTTACACAGTTCCATCAGGTGAGAAGAGTGATGACCATCCTTTTCCTTACTATGGTTATTTCATACTTCAGTTGCATGAAAGCTGCCCCTATGAAAGAAGCCAGTGTCAGAGGACAAAGTGGCTTGGCCTACCCGGGTCTTCGGACCCATGGTACTCTGGAAAGCATAGGTGGGTCAATGAGCGGTTCAAGAGGAGGAGGACTTCCATCGTTGACAGATACCTTTGAACAAGTCATAGAGGAACTCCTGGAAGAAGAAGAAAATATAAGGCAGAGCGAGGAAAAAAAGGACTCGGACATGTATACATCTCGAGTTATGCTGAGCAGTCAAGTGCCTTTGGAGCCACCACTGCTTTTCTTACTTGAGGAATACAAAAACTACCTGGATGCTGCAAATATGTCCATGAGGGTCCGGCGCCACTCAGAGCCTTCCCGACGTGGGGAACTGAGCGTGTGTGACAGTATTAGTGAGTGGGTGACTGCAGCAGACAAGAAAACTGCAGTGGACATGTCAGGGCAAACAGTTACCGTTCTTGAAAAAGTCCCAGTACCTAAAGGTCAGCTGAAGCAATATTTCTATGAGACTAAGTGTAACCCTATGGGTTACATGAAAGAAGGATGCAGGGGCATAGACAAAAGGTACTGGAACTCACAGTGCCGAACAACCCAGTCTTATGTGCGAGCTCTCACGATGGATAGCAAAAAAAAAGTTGGCTGGCGGTTTATCAGAATAGACACTTCCTGTGTATGTACACTGACCATTAAAAGAGGAAGATAGTAAATTTATCTTGTATAGATTATATTGAGAAGAGAATATCTATTTGTATATATACATAACAGGGTAAATTATTCAGTAAGAAAAAAATTATTTTATGGACTGCATGTATAAATGAAGTTTATACAGTACGGTGGTTCTTCAATCTATTTATTGAACATATCCATAACCTCCTAAGGAAACGGAGTCCTCTGTGCACAATGCAGCCTGTTTACTGCTGGAGGGGCCCCAAGGGACCTATTGCTGTGCAATGTTTCTCTGGCCCCTCCAGCAGAATATGGGATAAGTCTGCATTATGTTCCTCAATAACATTGTGGTTTGTTGCTGTTGCCAAGAATTGAAAAACGTAAAGAGTTAAAAGCGAGAGTTGCATGCTGCTTCAGTTGTGAATTGATAACACTCTGTCCTCTTTCAGATGAAATTCAAACCAAAACATACCGTTTACATTTTAGACAGTATCCTCATTCCTATTGGTATTATATCTGTTTACTGCTTTTAACTTCTGATAGCGTTGGAATTAAACAATGTCACGGTGCTGTTGTCATAGCTCTACTGTTTAATTAATTTTTGTTCTGTTCTTTTTTTTAATGTTTTTTTTTTAATTTATTTATTTTATGTTTTTGTTTTTTTGTTTTTATTTCTGGAAAAAAAGTTGCAAAGAGCTTGTCATGGATACGTGTTCTAGCAAAAAAAAAAAGAAAAAAAGAAAAAAAATTCATTTTGTATGTTGTGAAGGTGTTTGCAAACTCGAATCAGACTACTGATAAAAAAATACAAAAAAAAAAACAAATAAAAAAAATGTAAGGCAATCGAAAACCAATGCTCATGTTAACATTTTCAACCTACATTGCAGATCAAGTTATATTTTTCTGAATTTAAAAAGGGTTATGATGCTTCACAGATCTGCTCTTTTTATCAGGCTTTTTGTGTGCTTCTTTAATGTATATGATAATCTTGGAGAAATTGAGGTATAGCCTAGTCTCATTCTAACGCAGAACGGATACATTCTGCAAAACAAAAAAGTCTGACAGCTCAGAGGAACGGAAGTTGCAGATCATAGTAATTTCTATTCGGAAACTCTATCTAAAATTACAAGAAAGCCACTGGTTTGTGTTGATATTTCCAATGCAAATGCTGCCTAAATATTGTTTATCTATGTCCTGTTGGCTCTCTAGTACTGTCATCCGCATGCTAATGGCATACAAATTATATCTGAACTCATCACAATGTTTCCAAAGAAAGTGGTGATGAATGTGTGTGCCCTGGGTGTGTGCACAGGCCACCGTAGAAGGGAAAACAAGGAAAGGCTAAATATGCGAACATTATTCTCATTTGGACGTTGAGAAATCTAATTTCCGGAATACATTTTTTATAAATAGTAATAAACATTATAATAAAACATATATATCCAACTCTCTTGTGAAAGAAATAATAAATATTATGTTAAAATCTTCAGCTTCCTCAGAGCTTCCCCCAAAGAACAGAGCTGTGTTTTCAAATTCTAAATGACCTAAAGGGTAAACTATCTAATGTACAATTACATTTGAAAACTTAAATGAATAATAGTGTAGTTTGATCCCCATTACATGAGATTTTGCATCCCAGAAGAACCATATAAAAAAATCAATTACTTATAAAATAATAGTATGCCTGATTAAGAAAAACATAGTTAAAATACTACTTTATTGGGTCTATGTTTTACATTTTATGTGCTGCTCCCGACATTCCCCACCATGTTAGGGGATTAAATGCTCTGTTGCATTTTCTAAACAGGAAGTTGATATCTACAACAGGAAGTTGAAAATGCAAAGACACTATGCCTTTTCTAAACTGTAGTAAAGGAAATATTCATACAGGGTTTTCATTTAATCTCCTAACATTGGTCAAGATATAGATATTTTATTTTAATATTTAAAAAAAAAAAAGTTTTCTTTAAAGAGCAAAATATTTTGCAGGTTTCGGGAAGATGATTTATGTATGATGTTGTACATTTGACTTTTACTATTCAAATTGAAAAACGAATGAGCAGTACGTGATGACACAGGGTAGAATGATTGTCATTCAGACTGCCAGCCTTTCAGTACAAATCAGCACTGTAATGCCAGTAGATTGAAAGTGATGACTTATTTTGCAGTACAATGATGTATTGTTTTCAAATACCAAAGCCCAGCTAACCCTTTTACTTACAAACCATTCATAATTTTTAGATATCCCTTAAAATTCTTAAACAAGAAACTCGCCAATGTTAAATGCTTAGTAAAATTTAAAAAGTCTGCTTTATAGGTTTAATGAAGTTTCAAATAATATGAAAAACATTTTCACCAAAGTCAATATTGGACAGAAATCGGAATTTGGAAAAAGACTCCAATTTATTTATAGGGACATGGGAATGACAAACATATTGTCATCTCTATTTTTTGAATAATTATTTATGATTTTTGTTTTTTCTACAATGTACACAGAACACATGACAATAATCTAATCATGTTACAAGTGAAAACAAGAGTTAATAATGATGTTAGATCATAAATTGACATGATTAGTAGCAGTTAACATCTATGAGACACTTTGATGACTCCCAAATTAATATTTATATTTAAAAATTATTGAAACTTACTCACAATTGGCGATTAATATCATTACAATCATATAACAAGCATGTGAAGATATATCTTATTTTAAAGAAAAAATTTTTTTAAATCAATCGCCCTGATGAAGAAACAGGTAAATATCCGTAATTATGAACACACATTGATATTGGAATAGCTTTTTAGAATTTTAAATTATTGCAGTAAGAACTGATATCGTATAGCAGCCAGATTTGTCCCTGATTTCTAGGTAAAGATTCTTGATTGCCCGTTGTCCTTTACATATTATCCAGTTATGTCCAGCTCTTATATAGCATTATTCCAATAATCCAATAGTGGGTTGGCATTACTTACTTTCTGGTCCATATTACCCATCTGTGGACTAAATGTACCTTTAGTAAGACATAAGGGGTACATCTACTAGTCTCTCGTTGAATAATTTTACTTATTTAACTATTCTTGTATCGTGAGGATATTTACACAAAGTCAAACTTATTAATAGTGTGAATTATAGACAAAGGGAAATCTGATTCAATGTAAAATATATACTGGTTCACAAAGTAGACAGAATGAATGACATAAAAATGTATCTCTCCTAAAGTATTACATCATTACCTTTGGCTAATTTCCAGAATAAGGCTAAACAGAGTTATTGCTTGTTGATAACCAAGACAGAACCTGAAATAGTCACAGGGAACCACCACCGATAGATGGGGAGAAGAGGGAACTACACCGAGTGGATAATTATACAATCCATGACATTTTGCTATAAATATTTTACCTAAGAATATTATTACCCTTCTATTAGATCACAATGGGAATCAACGTTTTATTACAATCTGCAGCTCATACTACTTCTTCTCTTAACTACTTTATGGCACGATAGAAGCCATCGTAGTATAATAGATAATAATCATTTCTTAACCTTGTTGTGAAGTGGTTAAGTCTGCTTGGATTCAGACAAAATCTTCATTAAAAAACAAGCAGAAGGTATTTAGTAAACTTTGAATGACCAGATTTAATGGCCCATTCTGTTGATTAGAGATTGGGAAATTTGTTAATAAACAAAACAAACAAACAAGAAAATGAGTTTCTCACTGTTAAGCAGAGAAGTACTGGTAGAGCCTGGGACATTTTAAAGGAATAGTAGTCATGATATCTAGACGTGTCTCATATTAAAGACAGCTTTAAATAAAGCAAGTTAAGTGTCCTATCAAAGGGATAATTATGAAGACAAAATGCTTGTCCTAAATTTGCAAAATTTGCTAAACATTTGTAAACACATCATTAGGTATCTATGTTATCTTTGTTATAATTAGGGTAATGTAAAATTCTCCCTAGTGGGTTACATAGTGTCCTATTAATGGTATAGGATTATCAATGGATCAGACTCTTGAACTGAAGTACCCCGAGAGTAGCAAGTTCACAACCATCTAGCAGAGAACAATTCTAGAATGAAGTTATGGGTGGGAAACTTTTCCATCAGCTTATAGCTCGCTCTAGAAGAATCTTCTAAACGTCAGAAAACTCATTAGAACTAACAGTTTTTTTTTCATCATAATTATAAAGTGATAAGGAATCACATGACAAACATCCAAAGCCTATAATAAACCGTTGGCCAACATCATTTTCTGTTAACGGAAGGTAGTTTAACGGAAGGTAGTTTTCTAATCCAGATGTTGCATTCACTATTCCTTTAAAAGAGCCCAAGTTTAGTGTTTATCAAAAAACACAGGCAACACTTGCATCAAATTCTGAAAACACACACCACCGAAGATGTTCACTTATGCATACTAAAAAGAAATATATATATACATACATATGATTGTTGATGTGGATACGAAGTTTACATACCTGGAAACTTTCAAATAAAAGGTGACCCTCTTTAAGCTCACTTAAAAAAAATACCTGTTAGTAATTTATGACTTTAAAAAAGCAATGTTATGTCACTCCTCTTAGTTCGATGGTCTTTAACATTCCAGGCGTAAGGCTATTTGTGCTTAAGCCCAATGAAATTATTTTGAGGACCAAACATTGTATGACTCGCCCGTACTATCTTACTGGCTTACTGGCTAGAATAGCACCTACTAGGTAGATACACCAGTAGCCAATTCTGATAGATCCTACTTGTGTCTACTCCAGATCACATCGCCTTGGGATCTAACTGTGCACTAAAAATTCAACTTTGAAAACAACCCAGAGGCATTGGTCAAATTCTGACGTTCCCAGGCGTGAATGCGGGGGTGTGCATGTATTTATTTATGTGGGTACAAACGTATCTATAAATATGAGTCCGTGTGTATGCGTATAAATGTGTGTGTATATATGATCTGTAAATATGTAATTAATGAATATGTATATATACATGTAAATATGTGAATACATATGAAAGTGTGTGTATATATATATTCAGCATAAAAAAACCAAGATCGAATATGCAAATGTTCAAAATTATATTAAAAAAAAAACAAATGGACGTCACCTCAAACAGTGTATCCTGAAGTGTTTAAAATAGCATTTTTATGTCCTAATAGAATAAAAATTACAATCTGAACAACGACAATGAAACGCACAGCTATTACTGGCCATGGCAGATCCACTTCTGAAAGTAGGCTTGGCAGTTTTAGCTGAACTGGGCTGCAAGAAAAGACTTCTTTATCACTCTTTATTTTTTCTTTATTTTTATTTAATTTTTTTACTTTTTTTTGTATTTATTTTTTTTAGTTCTTTTAATTTTCTGTTTTGCTGTGGTCTGTTTGTGGCAAAAGGTATATTCTGCATGTCACATGCCTACCACCCTGTTAAAGTGAGACACTTCGGAAAAAAAAGAAACGTTTTATGTATGTGGCCTTGTTCTATTACTGAAAAAAAAAGTATATATTTTCACAATGTGTAACAGATATTTATTGTATGTTAAGTATATTTATATAATTATGTTATTGAAACATTGAGATTGGCATTTAAAATGAAAGCATTTGAATCATATTGTAAATAGGATACCTCTATTTAAGTGTACTACATAACATATAATATATGTTCAACAATAGAAATTTTTAATGTTTTTAAATATATTTTCAAAATATATAAACCTATGTTTTGGACCATGTTATTTTTTTTCTCCGCATACAAAATTAACATGTGTATTTTTACTTTTTTATTTATTTTTATTTATTTATTTTGTGTAAATGGTTTTCATCAAATTTCATTATCTGCAATGCCGAGTGACAAAATGGTAGTTACAAAAGAGGGAACATTGCGCCTTATTTTCAAGGGATCTGCTGGGGGCTGGTGGGTGGTTCATTTAAGGGTTAAGTCAGAAAGTTTAAAGAATAACATAAGCAATGGATGGAATGTGCAGATCTGTCTTTAACTTCTTTTCAAAACACGCTGAACAATATTCTCTGGCACTTAGCTTACTATACTATAAATATGTAGCGCCTTTCAAAAACATGCCTTTTTTTTCCAGAAGATTAGAAGAAATTATCAAAAACTGCAGTTAGTAATCTCTGCTGCATTGGTTGAAAATAATATCCACTTTTAAAGCGCATGTGTTACTTTCAAGGTAACATCTCCCGTTAGGGTCCAGTGGCGGCAGTGTGCAGTGGATGCATTCACCTAAATAAAGCATCCACCATCTTCTTATTGGAGTTATTACACAGTACATGGTGCTCCCACTTGCTAGGAGTCGAGTCAAGTCTGTACTCCTGCACAAGTGTCAGAGTACAACACCAGTGAGGTCTATGGAGGATCTTGCGAGACCGCTTAAGCTACCATAGAGATGAAGTCTTGCGATCAGCGAACCCATGCATGAATTATTTTCAAACGTTTTTTATTGTTTTTAAGAAATAACACTAAAAATAACACTAATTATACATATTAATGCCATTATTTGTGATGGATAGTGGTATTTGGCAAAAGTTCACAGTGGAACTCCACCTTGTGTAAATTTTTGTCCTCCTCAGATTTTACCATAAGACAATGTAGTCGCTACTTTGTTTTAAGGTGTACGGTCAGCATCGGTATTTCATGAGGATTTTAAAAATGTGTTGTTGTTTTTCAAAATAGTAAATTAAAAATTATATAGTGCTATTTTTAAAATAAGCAAATTAACTCTTTATAATTGACAAGTCTTATATTCTCCCAAACAGATGTAAATCAGTTACTGCATTTTTTTTTTTTGCATTGATACACCCATATATAAGCATGTTGCCTTGGCAACACTGCAGTTTGCACAGAGTCAGATAATGGTGATATAATGCAGCATTGTGCAGCTGTTACTGTACATCACATTGGAAACAAGTACATGCACGGAGCAACATTGTATTCACTTTACATGTCTAAAAGGGAATCAGACCCCTCTGCGCCCCCCAGGAATTTAAATTGCATGCATCATAAAGGTCTGACACCTCTTCCTGTATTTAACTAAATAATAGTGTTTGTCACCTAAAGCTATGGATATTTACCAAAACTTTTATACTGTGGCTCAGTTTGGGAATGTGTTAGAATTGTCCTTTTAGTAGTTAAATATATTTTTATATAGCTTTACATTTAGAATAGACATTGATATCTAAGTATTTGTTTACTGTACTCTCATTTGAAAACATAGCTTTGTACACTAAAACCCATTTTATGGAAATCATTTCTAACATTTCTAAAATAATAATAGCAAAATAGTTTAATTCCTAATTAAAGTGAAAGGTATTCCTTCCTATCTAGACTTAGTAATAAAAGGTGTGAATCCAAACAGTTAGTTTCTATTTCCCACTTGAGAAACCCAAAATTCCGTACAATGGCCACGCAACCCAACGTTTTAACATTTGAAGATTCACATTTCAGTCACAAGATTTCCCCAAGAGCAGACAGTACGGTAACATTTAGTCCTCAGAAAATATACCAAAAACATTTAAATCTTTAGTATGTTTCTTTAAGCAGGACAGTTGATGTCTTTATCATTCAGCCTATATTGTAACAGTTTTCATAATTTTTTAGGGGACCTATTAGGGTATCATTGGTGAGTGAGTTTTTATTGTTAATCGTATAATTGCTTATTTCCACCTAACCTTTCTGCTATAACTGTCAAGCCTACCACAAAATTATTCTGAACTTTTTTTTTCCCAGCATGTGTTGGAATAGAGTGAAACATTTAATTTATTAGTAGCTGAAAATGTATATTTTTATTATGGTACAATGTCAAACTGTCAGGGTTATCCACATGTGATATGTGAAGGATTCAAAATTAATTTCAAATTATTGACCAAATTTCACTTTGTATTTCTGACAGTTCACACGTTAGTGATAAACCTGTTTGTTATATATCTTCACTACAATGTTATTCCTCAAGGGGCAGGTAGATTAAGCTAAAAGCCACCAATTTGTAGTAATTTACCATATTTATTTTGATAGCCAAAACGACAGCTTCTAGTTGATGTATGTTTCGGGAAGTTGAAGTTAATTAACATACATGGCCCATGCATGCCATGTTATAGGGCCTATTTAGGAAAGGGATATTAATATCCCAGCCACTTATCATAAACCCACACAAAGTATTCCAAAAATACCTAAAACATCCAATTACAAATTAATTACACAGGGTTATTCACTTTAGTGAAAATTGCAGGGAATGCAAAATGAATTCAAACTGAATTTGAAATTAAAATTGAAAATTGACAAGCTATAAACAGAACTGACTTGGAGAATTTTTCTAATTCGGCTATTTTGGCCTTTAATTTGAAATGTTCTCTGAATTGACTTTGAATTCCCAGCACTTCTTGCTTTTGTGGATAACCCTTAATTTGGATACACACATGCCGATAGTGTTATACACATTGTTATATATTGTTAAATAACGGGGGTCAGCAACCTATGGCACCAAACAGGCTCTGTCCCATCAGGAGTCACAGTGGGACTCCAGATAGTCTGCTAGTGCAACCTGAGTGGTGATTGGAGGTGGTGAGGGACAATCCTCACTTTACGCATTGCAGCACTAAGAGGAAGTGATATCACAGCACTTCCTCCCAGCACTTGTTAACAGGAATCCACCCTGGAGTAGAGCATCCTGCAGCTCCTGCCTTTGACCTGTTCCTGGCCAGCCCGGTCCCCACTGGACCCCATGGAAGCCACCTACACTGCTATATATACTCAGAGCTGCAGAATAAGCTTTACCCTTATAAATATAATACAAACAACTCACAAACACACTCACAGTCCCCACAAACACACCACCACTGACAATCTACATACACGCACACAACCCCACAAGCAGCCTCTCACATGCAAAACCACAAGCAAAATTAAATAACACAAGCAGAACACAGCAGCATACACATCTCAAATAACAAAAACAGGACCGGTACGCAAAGGGACTTTAAGATCTTTTTTTGACACAGTACTGTTGCCTATCCTTGTTACATAAGATTCTTTGAAGGGACAGTAAACCCTGTATTTAACCCTTAAAGCAACCACTCATATTGTTAATGTACAGATTGATGGTTTTAAAAACAGACAAAATATTTAGGTTTCTTAACTAGAGTGAATTTTAAACTCAAGTTTGAATAGCCAAACTTGAAAGTCATCTCTGCATCCAATTCAGCTACTCTGACCTTAAATTTGAAGTTCTCACTTCAGTAAATAACCCTGTTTGTCTAACTATCATCACAACTTGGAGAGATTCACCATAATATAAACTGGATGAATGTAATTTTTACCCCTCTTATAAAATGATGTAATACCACTCTCTACAGACAGAGGTCAGCATTGCCAAGTATGGTTAAAATGTGCTGACACTGGTAAAAACTAAATAACTGCAATAGTTCAAATGTGAGGAATGGTAAGAATGCGTAATAGAAAATTGTAATATTTGGAAAGTAATGATTTCAACTAGCAAGATCATGTTCTTTTTGTTGTGTAAGTTCTATCAAAGGTCAAGATGGAAAAAAACCACCTGAGAGTGTTTGAAATTCCTCTTCTTTGAGGTTTGGAAGAAAGGGGGCAGATTACTCAGCAACATTGTATTTTATTGAAACACCAGAAAAACAAAATTGACAACACAAGAACATTTCAACTACAATTTAAATGACGTCATGTGGAAAAGAAAATATTAAATTCATGTGATGCCTTTATCTGTAACGGTAAGGTAATAAAAGATCAATTTATGCCAAACATCTTAGCACCCTGGACAGGGATGTGCGAATTACCAGCCAGGGAGAAAAAGTAAAGGATGGCCTTGAAAAATATTCACACCTACTAACCAATGGACACTAGACAAAGAGTAACCATAATGTCAAATCTCCTGAATGGTGGTTATTAGGTTCATATTATAACAGGTGGACAAACATAAGGACGAACTTTCCTGGCTTTGTAGCAGTAATCCAGATGAATGTATAAAGTTTCCTTAAATCCCTTTAACTAGGAGTTACCTGCCCAATGGTTTCTCCTTTCCCACACTCTCTGTGTGGCAGGACAGGAGTAAATGCATATAGCAGGGCCCTCTGAGTGCCTTTGCTCCTGGACCCATCACCATGGCTGTTAAAAATGGACTAGTGGGCATTATATAATTTGTGCTTCTCCTACGGTGGTAGGGGTCTCTTATGGAATTAATAATACACAAACAAGCTCTAAATAAAAATATGCACCAACAAT